GGTTTGGAGCCTGCTATTGTTGAATGTCAATCTTGGATTGCCAATCCGACTTGAAGTAGACAGTCCGGCTTGCGTGGATGTCTGACTTGCTTCTTTGGCTCTGCTTCTGTCTGCACAAGGCTATAAGCTGTCTGGGCTGTGACCAACCAAGTGCTTTTCGGGCACTTGCCTGCCGTTTTTGGCACGCGTTTGCGACTTCAACATCTACAACCTCAGTTGGAGGGCGAAGACTGGGCATGCGACTGATGACCTGAGTTTGCAGGTGGATGCGGTCATGCCGTGGACATTGGACACCATGCAGCTTGGCTTGCTAGGGCATGGACGGTGGAAGGGCATGCCAGCACGATCCAATCTCAGCGCACAACGGCATGAGTTGTGCAGGGGGTCCGTTTCGGAGCTTTGAACGTTGGGCTTGGACCAAAATGGTGGACAGACGATGCGCTTCCCTTCAACTCCCTGCCCTAGGAAGGTGGACGAGTGCTTCAACCGGGTGCACCTGAAGCAGCAGCACCGAGGCTTGACCTCGCTGCTGAAGACCCGAGGGGCGCAGGTGGTGCATGTGAGGGACCTCCTCACCGAGGTGAGCCACCAGGGTGAAGAGGCAGGGGGCGAACTTCTCACCGCCGTCCGTTTTGACAGGTAAGGAATTTGTGGGGGTTTCCTTGAACTTCAAATTTCAGTTTCGCACTCTCAGCTCTACCGGTCACGTTTTTTTGCGCTTGGGCCTCTTTTGTCCTTTCCTCCCGGAAGGTGAGGAAGGAGCTGCCGCTTGGCCAATCTTGGGCTTGGGCCATTGGGACATGCAGCTTTGGGCCGCGCGCTTTACGCGAACTGCAACTGAGCTGACCATTTTCCAACCACGAAAGTTGGCTACTGGCAGCCTCCCGGCCTTTGTTTTCCAGCCCCAAGAATTGACCTTTCAGTTCACATGTGACGAAGTGGCCGTGGAGTCCGAGGTTCGAGTCTGTGTGGGGCAAAGAGTTCGTGGCTGGCCAAAACTTGGAGAACCTCCACGTGGATCAGCTTGTGGACACCTGTCAAAATTGGAAGGTCCCGGGTCCCAGGTGCAAGGATTTCAGGATGGCCTTGGTTTGCAGACCTTACAGAAACAAAGCCTCGCACGCAGCTGCCTGTTGCTAGTGCAAGCCAGGCAGGCTTGATATGACATTTTCCATCGGGCGAGCAGTTCGTTGGGTTGGGTGAGGCAACTACCGGCAACTACCTACACACCAAAAGATGTGAAACAGTCGGAGTTGCTCTGGCAAGCTGAGGGTGGACTTTCGCGAGAGTGCATGCAGTTCGATCAGCCTCCCCTCATGAACTTGCCCCTTGGTCTACTGGCTTGTGCAGTTTAGGGGCAAGCAACTCCTGCCGGTGGTGCAGTGTCAGCTGTTGCTTTCAAAATGGCAGTGCTGGTTGACAGTTTGCTTTGGTGCCATCTCAATTTGTTTTCTTCAGCTGCGGGTTGGATGATGTTGGCCGCTCAGGTCGGCCTGTGGTTCCTCCACTGTTACCTTTAGACGAAATGGGCAAACGGGCGTTTGACGATCGATGGTTGTTGTTCGAGTCAATCTGATTCTGGCCAGCGTCGTTTGGTGGGCTCCACTTTGGTGAAGGCTCCGTTTCAGATGATCTTGCGACTTGGTGATCGCGGTGTGTGGGATGAGGGCTAAATTGGTAGTCACCCGATAGCTGGCCCGATGCGCCCAGGTTCTTCATGCGGGACCCGATCTTCTCGGTGCCGGGGGGCTGGGCGGTCCTCGCGCGGCCATACTTCCCCATCCGCTTTCGCGAGTCCCAGTGGCCCAGCGGATCATGCGACGGTTGCTGGGGGATGGCAGGTGTGTGCGGTCTTGGCGGTCGGTTCGGCTCATTGCCCGCTTTGGGGGTCAACCTCTGGCTGGTTGGAAGGACGTTTCCATCTCGAGTAGGATGAGCCGCTACTTCGGGGAGCCTAGCTTTTTCGGCATGAGAATGTGAGCCGAGAACTCGAGCCGACTTGATCGCCACACAAATGAGGTGGCCCTTGTGAGAAATGTCTAGTTGAGCAGTTCATTTTTCCCCCACAAAGGATGATGCAAGTTGCTAGGGATTAGCATTTGACCCTGTCCTTCATACGTCCCACTGCATGTTTGTCTTGGGGGTCCATGGGAACAGCCCCCGCTTTTAGTAGATCCTGAAATGAACTTGGCCTGTGCTGACCCGCGCTGAGCTTCCCAAGGCTCATGCATGCGGTGTTCCGGCTTCATCCGAGCTTGAAGGGCGTGAAGCTCTACGACGGCCTCATGGACGACCCCGAGGTGACCATTGAAGGACGGATTTGGTACGAGCCGACGTTGCTTGTGAAAAACGCCGTGGGCACGACATGGTTGAAAGGCAGAGCATTCTTCCCGCAGCTATGTAGCCTTAATATGTGCAAGAGGGACTCTTGTGACCCAGGCAGCTCTAGACGCCAACGCATCAGGCGTTGATGCTGAGCTTTTTTTGCAGACTCTGTGCAGGCCAGTCGTTTGCAACGCTTGGGCTTGCGCCGCGATCTTCGGTGAAAGTACAACAATCCTAAAGAGCTCGGCTTTCAGATTGTGGGCCATAGTGTTTGCCGACATGCCATGATCTGCGGGCAGGAATGTGGAGCGCAAACAAGCAACTTGAGCACCTCGCGAAAGTGTGGGGAATCCAAGGTGCATTTGGGGTTTGTTGCACGAGAGGGAGGCTTTCAGTTTTCAGGCGGAGTTTCAGTAGCTTTTGAATCCAAAGCAGGCAAGGTCCAAAACAGGACGAGCACCTGCCCTGCCTCCCCTTGTCCCAATTTTCCAGGAGGCGACGTCTTGGTGGCAGATCGGGAGACTGTGCTGGTGGGGGTCTCCCAGCGTACCAACGAGCGAGGCGCGGACAGGCTAGCTGAATTCCTGTTCGCGCGCACCCCGGTGAAGCGGGTGGTCAAGGTCTTCATCCCCAAGCAGCGATTCAGCTGCAGTGGGTTTGTGGGCCTGGGGGGGGGGGGAATATTGGCATTCAGATGAAGCGTGACCGGCGCCCACTTGCGCTGGCTGTCCCAATGACTGATGTTAGGTGAGAGAAGCCACCAGTGCACATCAATTCAAGCTTGCAATTGTCAATGGTTCTGCCGCCCCAAGGCGTGCCTTCATGCACCTGGACACGCTCTTCACCTTTGTGGATCGTGGAACGGTGCTCACCATGCCCTACTTCTGGTCCAAGCCAGAAGTCTACGCGGAGGCGAGCTCGTTTTGCGCCAGGTTCTTTCCGTGAGCCTTCGTTTGCCTTTTTGGACAAGTATGCGAAATTCGCACGTATGATGCTTAAGAGGCGCGGGGTGTGCGACAGTTTGCGGCAGTAAGACGTGGGCGGCTCAAATTGCTCGTGGGAGGTTGCGCGACGGGCGAACTTGCTGAATGAGAAGATGGGCAGCGAACAGCGACAGAACGTCGAGGAGTGGGTTAAGGAGCCGCCCAGGATCGAAGTGATGCTGAAGGCCCAGGGGTTGGACGGGCTTGGAAGTGGCCAGGTAGGTGGGCAACCGTTTGAAAAAGTGGGGGTGGCCACTTAGCCAACTCCGGCGGGTTGGAGTCTTGAGGCCGGCAAATTGCGCCAGAGTTTGTTGGCTTTAGAGCGCCAGGCTGCTGAATGACACAGGATTTGCACGGGGTAGTGACGTAGCTTGCAGCGCTGGAAGCTCCATGATTGACACTTTGGTCTTGCAAGACTGGTCACCCAGAACCAGCAAAAGGCACGGCCAACGTCTGCTTTTGATGCAAGTGTTGCAAAAAGTGCCTCTGATTGAAAGGGAAATATGGAGGAAACTGTAGAATCTATCAATTTCAAACAGAACTTCTTAGGAGGCCCGATGCCCCCCCTCAATCCGCCTGCGAAGGGCAATCCCACGCCGAAGAAGTACAAGCACGCGATGACTGGCCTGCAGGTGCCTCTTTGAGGTCAAAAGAGTTACTCGGGGTCGATGGGGACGGCCATCGTGCCTTTAGTAGGAGTGAGGGGGAGGGTACCTAAGATACCTAGGGAGGGACGCAGCACACACGCAAAATGCTGAATGAGTCAGGCTGAGGGCATCATCGACAAGGCGCTTTTTGTTTGTGGCGCGGAGGGAACCTTCCCCAGCCCGGAGGCGCGTGCTTGCACGGCCGAAATGTGGGCTGAGTATGGTTGAGACTCTTAGACCAGACTCTTACTGCCAGGGAAAGATGAAGTGTAGAATGGGCAGTCGCGTTTTGGCAAGTGGTGGGCCCAAATCTGCAAGCTTCGGGCAGGCCCACGTGTCGGCAGCCTTGACGGAGCAGTGGAACGATGCAGCCAATGTGTTTTGCTTGTCTCCGGGGACCGTGGTGGCCTACAAATGGTGCACCCGGACCATTGCCCATTTGGAGGCCTCGTGGAGTCTGCGAACGGCCAGCTGTGTCCAAGCCTGGATTCCCCATTTCTCCTATCTCAAGGTCTTGTTCCCAGCAACGGGTAGGCATAGATGAGGAAGGATTTCGCTTGCTTCCATCCGGGGCTTTGGGGGGGAGGGGGGCGGGCGCGGAATAGTTGCCCAAGTGCCAAGTACTCGCAGGGCACTCGTAGGGTGCCTCAGACAAACCTTTGGCTCCCCCCGACCTTGGCCCTTGGCCTAATCCGATGACAGTGACGCGGCGAAACGGACCAGTCTGCTCCAGGACAATGGCATCGACGTGTTGGAGCTCGACGGGGTGGAGCTCATGAAGGGTCGGGGGGGTGCCCGCTGCATGACCTTCCCCATGCGCCGGGCCTTGTCGCTGGAGGGCGTGTGAGCCCGTGACGGACTTTGCGGCGTTTCTGCCCGAGCCAAGCCAAACGAAATACGTCCAAGCCAACACCAATGCAAAACATCTCTAGAGAATAGCCACTCGCATTGCCGTATGTCGACTTGTGAGCCCTTCAGGTTCCAGCAACTTCCACTGTGGGGCATCGATCGCTCTCAGTTTGGAATGGCGTTGCCGCGGTTTTCGGTGCGTGCCACAGCTGGTGCGCAGAACCATAGGGGCCTTTACACATTCCAGGGCCACCTCACTTTGTCTGGGTTACTGGAGTAGGGCGCTAATTCAAGGACCACCCATCAGCCATTGAGTTGGCCCAGCCGTTCTGCGACGCCGGAAATGGGGCTTTTCATAGCGCGCCTTCCGTGGAGTTGGGGTTGTGATCCGATTGGGGCAGGCCCCGTTCAAAGCGGAGACAGAGATAGAGAGAGGGCAAGCAGACAAAAAGCTGCGGCGTTGCGAGTTGTCGGGCGGGAAGACCGTGAATGCAATGAGGACGATTTGTACTAGCAACAGGCCAATCGATGGGGGACTGCTTGGGGAGAAATGTACGTGTGTGTGTGTGTGTGTGTCAGGAGTTGAAGGATGGTGAATATCGACCATGTGGTGACGAAGACCCAGGCAAGCAACAAACTTTGCATAGGATACATTAGACTTTGTGGCGTGCTCAAGTTGCGGTTCCTTTCCAAAAAGGTCTTTGTCGTTTGAGTGGACAAGATGGGCGCCCTTCCATAGCCAGCTGGCACTCGGGACTTTGAAAAGCAATGTGTCAACATCCTTTCTGGACCAATGTTCCTTTGCGCAGGCCAAAATCCCCACTGACTGGGAAATACCGAGAAATTCTCTGCGAACTTCACTTTGGCTGAAGCCAGGCTGAGTTCCAAATATCTGGCTGATGGCTGTGACCGGAGGTGCGGAATCAGATGGGCGGCCTGCGGCATCTGTTCTCCGGAGAAGGCGCCGGTCTAAGCCTTTGGGCAAAGCATTGGCTTGCCTTGATCTTGGTGAATTGCTGCAACTTCACTCTAGGTTCCGCACAAATTCCCTTTTGGTGGTTTAAAGTGAACAGCATCATTTTCTTTTGCAAAAGTTTCAAGGAGTTTCCTTGTCAGCCCTGTATGGGGTCATGGGTTGAGGCGGGCTGACCCTTGCTAATGATTTGCATCATCTCCCGTGTTTGCCTTTCTGAGGCAAGATGCCAACACTGGAGGAGGCGTCGCAGACTGCAGGCGCCAGCGTGCTCTGAGTGGTGTCGGGATTTTTGTGGTTGGTGGTTGGTTTATTCTTGCTCTGAACGGCTTTCGGTCCTTCAGGGTTCTTTGGACCCGATATGTTTCACAAAGGGCCCGACGTATAAAATGCCTGGCGGTCCCATTTTTGGTTGTTTCTCCAGTTTAGATCACCCTCACATCACTGCCACAACATTACATCGCTCCTGCTGTTGCATGAAGGAAGCTGCTGGGACTCCTGACCTGACAAGGACACACATCGACAGATCAATATGTATCGCCACTCGAAGATGGCGAAGGATTTTTTACCGATATCCCATGTTTTCGAACCACAATCAATTCCGTACATGGCTGGCTGACCCTCGATTTGAAGCGACAGTTCTAAGCCTTTTGCTGGTCTTCTTGCTAGTCTGGCTGAAATCGTGTAAAAGGGAGCCGGTTTGCGGTCACTTCTTCATGCTGTGGCGCATCATCACGCTGTGTGTCCAGTTGCCAGAAGCACCAGATCTCAGGGAAACACCTTCTGCCAGCAGTCCGGGTAAGACTGATCACCGAGGTTCTTGTTTAACTTTAAGACCAAACAAGCTCCGTCAGGAGAATGCGTCAGGCTGTTTCTGTTGCGGGCGCCGAACCTCAAGCCTTGTGGGGTTGGTTCGCAGGCGAACCAACCCGCGTCGGCCAGGCCCGGGCACTCGATTCAGCATGTCAGACTCGCCGTCTGGACGGGAGGCGGTTAAAGTTGGGAGGGACGTGCGGGTGCCGAGAACTTCCGCATTTCTAGCACGCACAAGAAACACGCAACGGCACGCGGATATGGTTCACGCACTTTGCTCTCCATCTCCTGATAGACCCAGAGGAACCAGCAGCCCGAGGGATTTGGAACACAGTTGTGGCGGAGCATCGGCTTCGAAGATGTATTCAAGTTGCGAGGGTGGTGAACGCGTTGGCCCTTGCGGGGATTCAACTTTTCCGTGACTGCTAAGTTGTCTCCACGGCTTCCATTTCATAAACACTGGTGAGGAACATCCTCCTTCATGGATTCCTTTTTCCTAGGTGTTTTCGTCGTTGGCGCAAACGGTTTATACTGTTGAGTCCGAGATCCCTTGCAGAAGGATACAAGAATGCCGGGAGTACCGTCCCAACAAAACCGACTGAGCAACGTAGCGAAGATACTAACAAGAATTCGCAGCAGCACAGGCACAGCCGCAAGGAGCCGCAGTAGATCTTTCCCTTCAGAGAGAGTAGCTGGCCTGGTTAGCGCGCTGCTCTTCAGCAAGGTGTGCTGAGGTTATGAGGCCCTACCAGTCTAGTACTGTGACCGTCCATCGCAATGGCAACCTCCATTGTTCTAACCAGGGCAAAAGCAACACTTTAAACGTCTGAGCAACATGGAACAGGGATTCCTATTCGGGAAATGGCTCCAATCTTTTGCTGCGGACAACGAACAAACGTTTGTCAAGCTTGGAGTAGAAGAGAAAGCGAGTGCAAGGGATTACGATGGGGATTCCAACAAAACATTTGCCGTCAAGTCGAGTCCCAAGTTTAGTGGACCAATGCTGGGTGGCTCATGGCTGACAAGAACAAGCCAATTTTCTTTGTGACCATGACAATCCCATGCGTTGATAAAACCATTTTCCTGGCCTAGTCCGAGCCGCAAGCGTTAAGTGGCCGGACCCCTTGCCCAGAAGGCTTGAAGGTGAGGCACATTTTGACAAAACAGGTGTGCCGGACGCACCCGCTGATTCGGAGTACCCGCCCGTCAGGCATCCCAGCCGCGCGGCCGAGTCCGCGGTTCCGTGGCCAGCCAGAGGAGGCGACGCCTGGCTTCCACCTCGCTCAGTGCAGCTTGTGGGGAGCGGTGGCCGGTTTCAGGGCCATTTTGGAGGGGTGACGCTTCTCTATGCAGCTTGCGGCCGGTTTGTTTTGATTCCCTTTTTCTGAAATCCTCCGCACATTTTGTACAGGATCTCATGTTTTTATAAGCAGTTTGTGGATATATAGGCGTTCACATCAACATATCTTCGCTTGCGTTCAGCCTGTGCTTTGCCGCTTCGCCTTCCGAAAGCCACAAGAATGCGGCATATCGCGGTCATTTGATACGACAGCCAGTGGCTGGAGGTAGACCCCAGGCTGCAACAGTTTGTCGTGCGCAACCTGCGCCCATGGTGAACACCGGTTTCAGAAAAAGAGCTTCCCATTGGATTCATTTGCACGTGCATGTGCACAGTGAACTGATAGGTTTGAGTTTGTAATTCCGTTTGCTGGTTGGTTGGTGGCCTACAAGAGGAACAAGCGAAGCCTCTGCTGGTCAGCCGCAAACTGACGCAGGCAGACATCCAAAGACGACCCGCAGCAACCACTGCCAGCGAGGGGCAGGAGGTGGGCAGTCTGGGAAGGACGGCAGGACCTTTGTGTTTGTTTTTGTGTTTTGTTCACCGGTTGGCACCCTTTGCTTCGTGCATGTGTTGTGCTTTTATCATCAACTTGTTAACCGCTGCGTTGTTTCAGGTGTTGACCTCTTTGGTTCCAAGATCCCACAAGAGACACACTCTACATAGCATCGAACTGCCACCTCCGCAGGCCTCACCGCCCCTGCTGTTCATTCCCGCTTTGCCCCAGAGCATGGTTCCCTCGACCGCATCCTTCCCATATTTGCGTGGAAGGCGGATTCTATTGATTCTAGCGGAGCCTTGGAGCCTGACCCACATGAGGGAAGGGTTTCACAGAGCGGTTTGTGAGCCGGCTCGTGGTTTTGGTTGTCGTGCCCCGACCAGATTCTTCCGGCGCTGTTTGAAAGTTGTTTCGGCTCGAGAGATCCAACGGGTCCTCGCCAGCGTTGTTCACCTAGCAGGCCCTTTCCATGTGCTGAAGCCGATCGCGTAGCGACAGGCTGCTCGTCTGAAATTTTGGTGCACGGCATGTACGGCACAACATCCATGAGCGAGGGGAGCTTCGTCAGATTACTCCCGGCGCACTTGCCCCTGGCCGGGCTGTTTGCTCAGGCTGGTCGTTGCCCAGTGCATGTATCTTCTGGCGCTGTTGGTGATCTGCACTGGCGCCGTGCGGGATGAGGTGGCTCTTGGGAAGCGTCGATGGGTCTTCTGTCAGAAATTGCACTGTTCCGCAAACTACGTGTCTGTTTCCCGGCCTCGCTTCAGGATGTCAAAACTCGAGTTATGTCTTGAAGCGCTTTTGATTTTTTTTGGGGACCTTGGCGCCTGTCTCGGCACGAGGGCTTGGACGGGCCCAGCGAGCTGCTGGAGCTTTCCCCTCAGCATGCAGCGGAGGAGGAGGAGGAGGTGGGCACGGCAAGAGGAGGGTGAGGGGGAACCACCCCATCACATGTTCTGCTTGCACAGTGCCTCATGCCTTTGCACCAGTCAGGTTCGGGAGGAGATGATGAGGCTTTTGGCAGAGCATTCGCTGCCCCTTGGCTGCAGCAAGTATCAGTGTGGCTGGCCAGCCCGCACAATGTTTGTCTTTTCCCAGCGATCCGCGCTGGCTGCTGCTGCTGCTGCTATGTCTGAAGTTATGTGCACTCCTGAATCTTTGGTGTTGGCGTTGGCTTGCATTTTTCATCGCGGTTTAAATCGCGGCTGCCTGCAGAAATGAATCTAGAGAGTGCAAGTCAAGCATCCTTTCCACGAGAGAGCATCAGGTGGAAAAAAAGAAGAGATGAGGTTTCCAGTCTCCCTGTTAAATCTGTTAAGATGTTGCCCGAACGTTTCGGCTTTGCGTGGGTGCCACGGAGGCGACACACGGTGGAGCGGGCAGATGCACGGGAAGTCGCCCGCCACCATAGACAGGCGGGAGGTCGGAGGAGCCTGGGTTTCCCTGTCTGGGGTGTTTGTTTGTTTGTTTGTTTGTTTGTTTGTTTGTTTGTGTGTATGTGTGTGTTTTCTTTCTTGCACCGTGACGGCGGGCTTGAAGGGGGTGGTTTGGTAGTGCGGTGGGGTTGATGGCAGCCTCGCCTGAAGCGGCCTGCCGCAGGCAGAGCGCGCTGTGGACCCGCACAACGCATCAACGGAGAGAGAGCGAGAGAGAGAGAGAGGTTTGGCAACCAAAGGGGGCGGGGAAGCATTGTGCCACGCATGTGCCATCGAGCAAGTGCCTGAAGGGTCCAACAAAGAAGGTATTGTATGTGCATCCTGTCAAAGGGCGCGCGGGCTTGTGGAAACACCCAGGTCTCACGTATACTTGCTCAATCGCTAACTTTTGCTTGAGCCGAGTGAAGCGGCAAAGGAGGAAAGCAGCAAGACGACGGGGAGTGAAGCGTCAACGGAGGAAAGCAGCAAGACGACAGGGAAGGAGGCCTTCCACAAGGCGTGTGGTGAAGGTATTTTGCTTCAAGGCTCAAAGGAGGCAAATGTTTCCTTTGCAGCATGATCGAGCCTCTTCTTCTGCCTCCTGTTTCCGGCCCCTTTAGATCTTCGAGTTGCTGGTGTGCTTGGGGATTTATCGTGGGAGGGCTGTGGCTGAAGCTTCAGGCAGAGGAGGACTCCCACAAGGTCCAGGAGGATGCCGCTTGGCTGAGGGCATCGGGCACTCGGCCGCTTTCGGCACGAGGCATGTGCGTTTAGACAAAAAATCGCGGGTAGCTGGAGCCAAGTTGCGGCAGCCCAAGGGATCAGCTGCGCTGAAGGGATGCCATGAACTTGCTTCTGCCCACTGGAACCTGGAACGGAAGAACACTCAAATATGAGCCATGAACATGACCCGAAGACAAAGAACCGACGTCTGGCCCAAGGTAGCTGCAGTGAAGGAAGCCACTGACCATGCGGAGGAAAGGGGGAAGGCTGTGGACAAGGACTTCAACAAGTATGCGCCTCGGCGATCAAAAAGCCATGTGCGGCTAGTTTGAGTGCATGCTGCTTGCTGTACATTTGAAACCGCCCAGTTAGAAATTTGCAAGGCAGCGCAAGGGAAGATAGCCCCTTATGCAACATTCTATATAAGTAGCCTGCCGTATCTAAATATGTTGTCCTTGCGCTGGGTTTCTTGCCTACGTGTTGTGCTGGGAATCCAGGAGCCATGCCTGCACAGTTCCGCTGGCAAACGCGCAGACACGCGTGCAAGATGGGGTCACAGACCTCCAGACATCTCCAGACGAAGCACAACCACATGTTGTTTGGTGGATGCCGGCCTCCGGCCACTCTCAGCCAGGATGAGAGGCTCAAGAAGCTGGAGGCGACCTTGGACAAGCTGGCCCAGAAGTCCTTCCGCTGGCAGGAGGCCCGCGGGGGCTGGGAGGCACTGCCTCTAATGCTCCACCTCAGCGAAGGAAGCTAGGGAAAAAAGGGAAAATACACGTCCGAATTGAGCTTGTTGGGGGCCAGCTTGCATATGGCAACGAGGTAAACGCGCCAGCAGTCACACATGGCCTTGGGGCCATTCTCCCAGGAAGTGATGAAATCCTTGGCAGAGGCGGAGAGCGACAAGTGGCTTTGCCAAATTTGGCCACTGATTGTTTCTCCCCTCAATGGTCTTGAAGGGCTCGTGCTGAAGGCCGTTCGTCCGACAAGGTTTGGATTGACCTGGAGCGCAATCCTTCCAAACGTGAGAGAGCACAAATCCATTGAAAGGCTCGAACGGCTCGGCTACCAGCTTTCCCAGCACCGCCAGCATCACCAGCAGCACCAACAGTACCAACGACACCAGCCTCAGCGGCTGGCCAGCCGCCGGCAGAACGTGTTGCCTAGGTACTCGCCTCTGGCCACTGCACAGCTGGCGCCTTTGACTGCAGGAAAGGTGCTTTTTTACTGATGTTTCATATCCCTCCATACCGTCCCAGTTGCAGGAGGGATTGTGGGTCAGGGCGTTCAACTTTCCATTGCTCGCCCCTTCGAGAACAAAGCAGATCATCCACTGAATCTATCGCTGTGTGTTGCTTGAGCCGTGCGGTGGTGTCAAGTGTACGCATGGCTTCAGGGTCCAGCCTCTGAAGCCTTGCGGCAACACCAAGATCGCAAACTATGGCCGTTTGCTTGGTGAGTCAGGGTCTCGTACCTTCGCAATTTTGTGGAGGGCGCTGAATGACGTTGAAAAGTGCAGTGGGTGTCTCCCTTGAATGTACAGCATTCCTCGCTTGAATGGACAGCATGGCTTGCGTGAAGGTACAGCATGCTAACCACCAAATTAATAACCATGTTTTCCGATCTTGAAGCGCTAGCAACCGGCGTGCTGCCTGGCCAAAGCAAGTCTCTCTGAATGCTTGCGGCAACCCCCCCCCCCCCAGAACCACCCGCCCAATCCCGAAAAGTCCGATCTTGGTGGTGCCGCATCTACACGAGCTTGGATTTGTCCGTGGATGCATCGATGAGGTGGGACATGCATCACGTTAGATTGCGGCCCTGCCTCAGTTCCAATTTAAGGCACACTCTCGCCAGAAGAAGCCCAAGGGCGAAGGCGGGCGCATGCAAAAGGGTGTGAGTCTTGCCATTGCCGAGAGTTCTTTGCAGCAAATTTATGTTGGCAACACATATGGCTGTGGGTCAAAACCAATGGTACCATTTTGGGGTAGGTGCACCACCCATTTTAGTTTACTTTAGTGGGGGTTGGGATGTTCACTGGGGGTGCGGGATTTTGACCCACAGCCTTTCTCTCCATAAACAACGCAGATGCAAGCAGGGTGGCTTGTTGTGAAAGCCAACGCTGTGCAAGTCACCGGCCAGTTGGTGGGTGTCAAGTTGAACTTAGGCGCAAATGCATGGTGAAAGGAGTGAAAGCTAGCCAATGAACGAATCAGGAACACGGAACAAAGGTCTGCAGCAAGCTCCAATCGATGTTCAGTTTTGCTACACACCAGGCAAGCCTTGTGAAGGGTTCTTCCAGGCACCACCACGGGCGCACCCGGTACCACGCAGACGACGGCGCACGCGCCTTTGCAAGCATGGTGTCGGGGGTGTGCCGATTCAAGCATTCAGACGTGGCGCCAAGTCGTGGATCTGTTTCCGGCTGTTTGCTCCATAAATGCTTCTCCGAGCTCTTGGCGCAACTGTTCTTAGAAGTTTTTGGAGTCGGTTGGGTGAAGGCCTTCAGTTTCCCCGATTCAATACCTTTTATCCGATGTCGCCCTGCAGAGGGAACGTAGCTGCGCCATGCTCTGAAGAATGTTGCCAAGCCTTGAACTCAGAATGTTGCCAACCTTGAACCATGTGGCAAGTTTATCTTGCTTTTTCTCCGAAGACAGATTGTTGCCCAGGAGTGACGAAGCTCCCCAACACTCCAACCACATCAGCGTGCGGCGGAGAAAAAGAAAGCATGGGCTTGGGCCGGCGTTGCTTTGGGCTCTGGCTGCTTTGGGCTTGAGCCGAGTTTTCCCAGTTAGTGGCATCCAAGTTTCCACAGCAACGTAGAGTTGAACTCAGCGGAAGGAACACTCCCTTGGCCTTGGGCCATCGCAAGCTGCCAGGTTGAGCGGGCTTGTGGGCTTTGGCGCGTTCAACGCAATGAACCAGGGCCCGGTGAAGACGGAGGAGAGCCCGCGCACTCGTTTTTCCTACATCAAGACGCAGACGCAGACCGAGCAGGAGAAGGCGCGCGGCTATGCGGGGCTCTGGCCTGTCCACCGACGTGGCGCCAACGTGCAATCAAGTTAGCCCTGCAGCCAGCAGGCAACCTCAAAGATGAATATTTTTCTGTCCAACAACTGCGTATTCTGCTTGGAAAGGGGAGCCCCCCCCCCATTGACCGGCTCCTATCCCCATGTAAACGATGCCCGCAGCCAGGCAAAGTTGAGCTCGTTCCGTTCCATTTGTTACAGCATTCGTTCTGCCGCCTCAGTAGCACAATGGAGAAGCACGCGGACGCAAGCACAGAGTCCGCCAAAAGCAGTTCATGTTGCGCCAGGTGAAAGAGCGCAGGACGCTGCACTCCTTGTTCGGCTGAATCAGACAGCAGACCGGAGGGGTGCGCATGTACAAAGTTTCTTGCCAGCCTTGCGCCTGGGCTCGCTTGTCTCTGTCGCATCCAGTGCGACAAAGGTTAAGCCCGGAAGGCCAGAGATCCATTCGGTTTTATGTGCGAATGATGCGCTGATGGATCAACAATGCTCTCGTTTGGCCGCGTTGCAGCTGGCTCTGCGTTTCAGCTGGATCTGGGGGACACGCGGAGCCTGGGCACTTGGAGATGTGGCCGGAAGAGCCGGCTGCACCGGAAGAACCGGCGGCGGGAAAAGATACAATTACTCTCATGCCCTGCCCTGGATTGACTTACTGCGATGGGGTGGGGAATGCATCATCACCATGTTGAACAAGAGACCTAGCTGGGGAGGCGGTTTTGTCAGAGGACAACTGGGCCCCTCAATGAGCGATGCGCTGCCTGGTTCTGCGCACCTTGGGTTCAAGCCCTGGCTCTTAGCAGGTCCTTTCCGGCGCGTGGTCGCGGTTCTTTTGAGGCCGGCGCCGTGTCGCCTTCCCAGTGACCGGGCTGGGTGGCTGACGGGTGGCTGACGGGTGGCTTGTGTACACAGGATTAATCGAAATCTGCGGGTTCTCCCTTTCACCCGAGAGCGCGCACAGCGCCGTTCTTCCAGCATCTCTTGGGCTTGTCTCAAACATCTTGGGGGGGATGTCATCCCGGGGTCTTGATAGCATGAGGCTCCAAGGCTTGGAGCGTGTTCCCAAAGGATGAAGAATTCCCTTGATCCTTCCAGTTGAATCCTGCCAATGCTTCCCTTCATCAGAGGCCGCAGAATAGCTCCTCTCGTGATCAAACGCGTTGAAGAAACAAATGTCCATACGATTAACCCCCAGTGCTTTTGCCCTTTTTTGGGGTGAGCTGCCCGCCGTCGCTTTGAACACGTCCCTCAGGTGTATTCGTAAATGTTCGATGCGCCTTGCTGCTCTTCTTCTTCTAACGCTCCGTGGCTAGCACATTAGCACCAGCGAAGTGCTGCGGAAAGTGATGCCCAGGAATCGCACGAACAGTCAGTATTCAGTGATTCAATGCCGGCTGAAGATGCACACCAAACCAGGGGGAGCGGGGGTGGAATGCTAGGCGTGATTGGACCTTGTGAGAGGAATTCCTTTGAACATGTTTGGCATGGCGGTGCATGAGCGGGTTGGGGTCGGGGTTGGGGTGGGTATGTGGTTGCGTATCCCGCTGTCTTCGATAGAGAGCCCATGCATGATTAGCTCAGAGAAATAGGTGTTGGATTCAAGGTGGTCCACACTGTGGTCCCTTTAGTGTCCCCCATCATGGAGAAAAGCATGATTTCTGGGGTAGATGTGGTGGTGCAGCACAGGGACACCTGGTTGCGCTCAGCTCAGCTGGAAGGAAGCTGTACAGCTCGGCCATTTGCCAAGGCTCTCGGTGGGCGCCATGCGTGACGTCCTGGATGAGGAGGAGGATGATCCCAGAGCCGGGGGCCTTGGACCGGGCTTCCAAGACATTGGCTCAGGCCACAGGCTTGACGCAGTAAGCAGACTGACTGTTTCAGCCGAATCCCGGAGCTGAGGCAGAAGCCTCCCAGAAGGCTTTGCTGCAGATGGCAGACCGTGCGCGGCGGTCAAGCCGAGCACAGGACCCGGGTTTGGGGCGGCGGGCGGTTGTTCTATGGCAAGTTTCGTGTGCATGGGTTGCCGTGGGCTGGGCCAGGCACTTTTTGAAGCATGCCCCGCCGGCTGTTGAAACTTGGTCAAATCAACAGGCGCAACTGCCTGGAAACTAGCAGGGGACCCATTGATCGGCGCGTCATGTTTCCCCAATGGTGAGGCATGTAGAATCATTTCATTGCCTTGCACATGTTGTATCATGTTTTCTCCAGTAGAAAGAGGAGAGTCAAGTGCCTGGAAACGCTTGGTTGAAGAGAGCGGGTTCTAGAAGGCTTTACCCTGTCACATGGGCAGAAAGGTGAGCCGTTCCCCAGACTATCAATTCGGCAGTTCCAAACAGCACACTTTCGAAGAAAGCGTGCAGGAAGTAACAGCATTAACCCCCACAATCGAATTGTCAGCTTCTACTAGAGCCGATTGGCAAGTTCGATTTGCGCTGGAGCCGATTGCTGCATTACTGCAGTTTTGTCCAACTTGAAGCTGTTATCCAAGAACAGTTCGAGAGTGCAAAGCAGAAGCTGGCGTGTCACTCCTTCGCACGGTAGGAAGCCCAGGGGCGTCTACAACACGCAGAGGCGACTGGCTGGCGTCAGCACTGGTTGGGTCACCGCTCTCTGCTCGCTTTTCGCCATTGTTTTTGTTCATTCGTTTGGTTTCCCCATGTATCAAAATGGTGGTAGGGGGCGATGAACTGTTTCCTCAACGGCCCTGCGAAGGGTCAAACAAGGGAAGGCCACTTCGCAAGTCACAGGCACGCAAGCCGAGGATGCCCTCAAGTGCGCATCTCGCATGTGCCACAGAGGTTTCAAAATCCTTCAGGCCTCGAGCGACGAGGCAGATGCAGACGCGGACTCGGAGGATGAGGAGTAGGGGAAGTGCAGGGGCCGTTTGCCCATCCCAACATGGCACTCGATTTGTGAGATGCTGGATCAGCAGGAGAATACTTCTGATGGAATGTGCTTTGGGGTGTTGCCATCCTGAAGTTGCAAGAAGTAGGGGAGTTGAGGCCGCCGTTGGCAACTCCAATCAACCCATCTCAGATTCTGCGACATAAGGGTGCAAGGCCAATTCGAGATGGAGAAGAGTCATGCGTATGCATGGGTTATATATTCCAAGCTCATTTGAAGGCGAGAGCAGGGCAACTGGCCAAACCCGGCCCAACCGCTCAGAGAGCAGGCTCCCAAGCCCCGGGCCTTCCATTTGACCCATTCATTTGGCCAGGACGACATGCGAGAAACCACAACGCCGCCGAGTGGCGAAGACCTCGACAGCGAGGACGAGGCCGGGGACGTTGGTGCTGGAGCCCGGGCTTGACCCTCGCTCCTCCAAAGAGCTAGACACGTCGTGATCCAGCGAGCCTTCCAACACCTTCCAACCGTGACATGGCTATTCGTTGCAGGCAGCCAACCAAGCATCTCACAAGACAAATCATTGCTTTGACTGTGGCAAAAACCTGACGTCCATTCGCGAGTTTGTTGGGTCAGTATCGTTTGAGCTCGGTTGCTTTACAAGTGGGAGTTGCGTGAACACTGTTGGGTGGAGCTAGCCAACAGCCATCCACATCAATTTGTCCCAAGCTTGCTTGATCAGTGCAGCTTTCGTGGTCGAAGCGCGCTAGGATGGAGATCCGGTTGAGAGTGCCTTTGGCTGCAATCTTCACAGGCCATGCTTTGTCAAGACACACGCGCACACACACACACACATACACGTGCTGGACATGGGCGCGAACAAAAAGTGTACTAGGCATACGAGTAGCTCCGTAGCTCCCTTTGATCAAATTCCAGGATTCGAAGTGACCGAAAGTATGCCAGGGCTACGAACTTCCTGCTTCGTGAAGGCAGCCAGGCAAATGGGTTTTCTGAAGAAAGTTGAGGCGTCGATTGAACACATGCCCGACGCTTGCAATTTGGCTCCCTGGGAATCCCCGCTAACAGATGGTCTAATGCAGCCGAGCTCTGCAGTGCCAGCGGACTTGCGCGGCGTGAGGTGACCGGGATGCCTTCGCCAAGACGGCTGCCGACCACGCGGGCATCGTGGGCGCCATCGACGAGTTCGACAACGCCCTCCGGCCGGAAAAGGGGGAGAGGAACGTGCCCATGGGTTTGTGCATTTTTTGGCATGCGGTCCATCGACTTGGACAAGCTTGTTCAGCAATCTGAAGCTGGACACCGCATGATTGGGTGCTGGGTATGTGTACTGACTTAAGCGCAACGCTCTCATTCGGGGTTTCCAGGTCAGGTGTTGCCCGACTCAAGCATGCCTGCCGGGATGGATGAAGCTCTACTTTGCAGGACGGGACTGGGGTTGCAGTACCGACTTTTAACCCGGCGATCGCAGTACCAAGGCTACAAAGGTGGCGCAGGGAAAGGCGAAGGATGTTGACGACAAGTTTGCCCGCTACAACGGCAGGCACGGGTTGCATGGCGATGGCTATGACACAGGTTGTGTTGCACCGCGCAGTGCGGGTAGAGGGTCAGGGGTTAGTGAAATAAATGGTGCCCTGATCGCTTGGAGGCGCGATTGGTGTTTGTGCTTTTTTCGGCCTTGGCATATGGAGGGCAGAAGGTTCATCGGACGACAATGGGGGCAATGAAGGGGCAGGGGCTGTCGTCGGACATTGCGGCGAACCTTCTGGTTCAACGCGACGGCATGTTCCACACCTGTCAAAGATGATCGGGGCTTTAAGCGCAAGACGGCGATGTCAGGATCGGAGAGCTGCATGAGGAGCTGAACAAGCTCACCGCCACGGCCAGGAGCCGCTCGGCGCTGTTCCAAAAACCTGTCCGCGAAGTCTAAAGCGGCCACGGTCGCCCACCGCAGAAAACAACACGCGTTTGAGGTGTTCCCTGTTACCCGTCACATGTTGTGCCATTGGGTCGGATGGCAAGGTACCAGGTAAGCTGCCGCATGGCCTGAGGTTACCATTTGCAGACCATCAAGTGGTTCAAGGATGCGGAGAAGGACAAGTGCCTTTGAAGCAAAGGGACCAAGCACAATTACGTGTTGGGATTGGCTGTGTGATACTTCCGCTTCGCACGCGCAGCAAGCTGTCTAGTTCAAATCGAGCCATTCCAAAGGCTGCTATATTCGAGCAGCGTACATACCATGCCCATGTTTGGCTTTCAGTCACTCCAAGGTACTCGCCAATCGTGAACATGCCCCTGGACACCTTCAAGATTTCCAAGAGCCCAGACGACTTCCCACTGGAGTCCGTCTCAGGGCCTTGAAGCTGAAGTGGCAGGCTTGTCACTACTGTTTCCAGCAGGCAACCCTGGGGTCATGGCAAGCAGGCAGTGCGGAGGAGCATTTAGGCAGTCTCACCTGGGCCATGGACAGATTTGCTTCCGGCCAGACCTGAAAAAACTCCAACCGTGGTTTCCGGCGGGCTCATGTCTGGTGAGTGGCGGAGGGGGAGTGACATTGTTCGGACCTTCTGACGTTGTTGGGTGATTTTGGGTGCTCGGTCCCAATTACATGCTTGTTTGCGATATTGCCTGACTTGATGGGGGCGTCGTCTTGCAACTTGCGACAGGCCGGTTTTACATTTTCATTTGTGGTGCTGTTATGCGCCTCCTTCACGTTTCACAAGTGCTGTCAAGTTTACGGTGTCTAGAAATTCTGATTTTTGATGTTCTTGTGCCTTGGGGCTCTGCTTTTCTTTTGGGGGGCCCGTGCCTCGTACACGGGGAACGCGCAAAGAGATGATTCGGACCGCCAAGCTTGGGCTCAGCAGGCCTGTGCCGGTCCCCAGGCCGTTTTTGCCCGCCATTTGGGACTTACCCTCATTGTGGGGTGGGTTGTTCCGTGCCAACGAGGAAACCTGGTGATTCTTGCATGTCACGAGCTCCCTGACAGCAAATCCAGCTTGTGCAGGATCTGAGTCTGCAGTGCCCCTGGTCATATACCATGCGCAACATGTCACAGACAACTATGTTTTATGCTGAATCCCAAGTCTTTTGTGTGCGCCCGGGTCACTCCCCTGCTTAGCCCGCCGCCTCATGGTGCCATGCTGCCACTTGTCCCGGAGAGCCACTTTGGCCTTTGGCTGGACCTGCTGGAGCTTGCGCACGCGGAGCAGGCGCAGCGCGCGCATGAAGTCCTTAGCGCACCACATCTGCCCAGAGGAGTTACAACAAATTTGCGCCCATGAAGTCAGCAGCCATTTCACCAGTTTCATTCTTTCCAACACTTGCCAGTGGATGTATTCCTCGTTTCCTCCTGGAGCAAAAGGGAAAGAGGTTTGGTATTGCCTTCTTGAGCCTTTCTTGGTGACTGGTGCGCGTGCTGGCCTAAAGCTGGGAACCTGTGCCAGCCATTTGTGCCAGGGGCTGGTGCGAGGGTACCGCCAGCCGGGGACCTGGGCCGGTAGTTTGGACAGGGCCGAACCCGTTCCTGAGGTTGGGCCACCACACGGCTTTGTTAGCGTGCTCGTCGTGGGCACTGTGGCATTGTAAATATGTATTCCATGCCGACATGTGCTGAGTCCGCTTTTTTTTGGGGGTAAAAGGTTGCGACAGGCGAGCGGGCGAGGCCGCTCGGGTTGAAGACTGAGGCTTGCGCCGGCGTGCTACCTGGGCTTTACACTGGGAGACAGGTGCCAGTCGGAAAGGGCTGTTTGTGGGCGTGCTTGATTCTCTGACCTGTCATGTCCGATTCGCTTTTCCTGTAGTTGACATGCTTCGGGGTGGTTTGTTGAAGCAGATACCCAAGACCCCCAGCACAGCAGAAAGTCCACAGCAACGCGCGCAGGCACGCCTGTCCCGCGGAGAACGCGAGCTGGAGCCTGTTGCTCGTGGACCCCGTGCTGCAGCAAGCTGCTCGGGTTGCGGGCGCGGAAGGTACGGTGCGGATCATGGCGAGCACTTGGGTGCCCTGGCAGCTTGCGTTGGCTGGTGCTATGGGCCGCTCCCGTGCTTGGGCGATGGGGTGCGTGGACCCTCTGAGCAGCAGCTATTTTGGATGCGGCTTTGGGGGGGAGGGCATCAAGCTTATGTTTAGCAGGCGCGAAAACTCAACAACAAAGGATCGTCACCAGAGTCATCACAGCGCGTTGCAGGAGAATCACTGGGACTTTGAGATTTGGAGTCATTTCATTCGTTGCTTGGGAGTCATTGGCGATAAAGACCGACTGAGGCGCTGCGCCTCGACCGCAGCCCTGCCTGGCCACCTGCAAGCCTGCTGGCCGCTGAGCGGCGGCTACTCCGTGGCGCGAGTGGCGCCTGGGCCCTCGAGGTGGCCTGGGTAGCAGCTGGCGGGGAAGGGTTGGCTTAGTTGGATTCTTGCAGGTTGCCTTGTGAAGGCTTCCGTACTTTGGGGTCCCCAACTTGACCCTGGTTTGCTGAGGATGTGTACTCCCGCGGCGGCAGCTGTCGACTGGCGGTAGGGTCTGGGCCGGTGCTGGTGCACGACAACTGCCATGGCGAGGACTGGGAGAGGAGGCAGGGAGCTCAAGCTAGATGGGCTTCAGGTAAACAAATCAGGAAGCCGTGGCCTGTGGCCAGCCTGCAGCTTTGGGATGGGTCTTGGTCTGCTGCAAACGTCTCTCTGGCTGGCTGGCAGTCTTCCCAGAGCCAGGCTCCAAGGCCGCTGGCTGCACTGCCCGCTGAACGCTCCATTGGCGCTGCTGGCGGTGTCCAAGGCAGGGCTCTTGCGAACGATTGCCCGCGTAGCATGAACTGACGGCCAGCGAGATGTAGGCTTGGCTGTGGTTTTAATTCCCTGAGTGCTGGACCTTTGGCCCAAAGGAGCCAACATCACACTGTGCCATTGGGAAGCTTGGACGATTAGTGCCTTCCCTGAACCACGGCAGATAGGGATGATTCTTACTTGGAACCAAGGCCCGTTGAGTCCAGATCACAGCATTGCGAGTTCCATGCAGATCTCCCTTGTTAACAACCCGCTTGCTTGTCAGCGCAGGGACGGCGAGTGACAAGGGACTTGCATGATCATACAATCGCAGTACTGTTTGTCAGGCACAAAACCTCGGGCTTTACCTTTGTATTTTCAATTGGCTTTGCCCAAGCACCCCCCCCGGAGAGGTGGTCATTCTTTCGGCGCATTTTGCCGAGCGAGGCCGGGTCCACGGCGGTGGCGCGCTGGGCGCTGCAGGTGGACTTCCCCAAGGGCCGAGACCTGGCGCTCATGGCGAGGCGGCAGATGCGTGGGTCGAAAGAAATGAGCAAAGTTGTCGTAAGATATCCTCCCCAGCGTTCACTTTGCCGCAAGACTTTGCCATAGCCCCTCAGGACCTGGGCACCCCATGCGCCCAGCAGCCGCCAGCGCTTCCTGGACTGGGCAAGTCGCTGGCTCTTTCCCCGGCCCGAAGCGCGTGTGGGACGCCAGCTGCCGGCTGAAGACGTAGAGCGCTTGCGGCGCCTGGCAGCTCCGTCGCGTTTTGGGGCACGGTCCTTTGGGGCTCCCAAGAGGCAGTGCCTGAGGCTCGGTCTGAAGGCGAGGTGGGAACGGGCGCGGGTTTGAGGATGTTTCCAGTGAACATGCTCGCGAGGTGGAGTCACAGGAATCATATTAGAGTAGAGGCTGTGCTTTTGCACCCCTGATCCTCCATGTTCGAGAGAAGGGTTTCTCTCCGAACGAAACTAGTTCAAAGATCACACCTATCCTATCCACTCCATGCGGCACTTGCTGCATCGGAGACATACAATGGCTGGCCAGGAAGCAACCCAAAGGCATCTAAGGATCAATGGGGCAGTTACAAGGGCCTGGTTTTGGCCATTATCCCAGCAGTCCAGTAAGTTGTCGACCCTTTGACTTTGCATGGGCGGCTGGGTCGCCTTGAGGACCTGCTGTCGGCACGGCAGGGGCCGCCTCAAAATCGCAGTGGTGAGGAACCCCTTCGCCCGGTGCTTGTCGGCGTACCGGGCCATGTTCGCCGGGGTGCCTGGTGTGGGAGGGGGAGGGGAGGGATCTTCCTTTAAAACCTGTGGGCCAGGATTCCTTCCAAAAGGAAGGCTTTAGGTGAGCTGCTTCAGAAAAGCTTTTGCATACATGGTCGGCTGGCCACACACAGAAACATTTTGCTAGCAGAAAGGCTTTCCTGCTGGCAAGCTGGGGGGGCGCTTCACAGACTTGGGATTTTATTATTGAGAATCTGTCCCACCATCGGTGGTGGTTATGACAAACATTTGGTGGCAAGGAATCTCAAAGTGTTCACGGGCTGAACTTGCCACCCGGGTGGTCGAAGACAAGGGAGCTTTCGTTTCACTTCCGTTTCTCTCTTTGGTGGTTTTCAGCAGGGAGCCAAAATGGTTTGAGGCGCAGCCAGGCCTCATTTGCTCAAACCATTTGGCCGCGGACTCACTGAGGCGCCCGCGCGCTCCGGCACGGGCTGGGTCAGTGGCGGCTTCCTGGGCCGCAACTGCTCAGCACGGCAGCTCGGCACAGGATTTTGGTGTGCGACTTGCGGTGGGTGACGAACACCGAGGGGTGTACTTGAAGCTTGGACCACTTCGGCGCCGATGTCTCGTTGTGCTTTGGTTGCTGTCTACATCTGGTGCCCAAGTGATAGCGGCCAGGGAGCAACGGCTTTGGAGGGCAAACCCATCCAAATCCAAAAAACACATGGTGTTTGGACCAAGCACATTGGCCAGACCGCGGCATACCTTGTTTGTGTGGCCACTGCTTTCCGTGCCGCGTTGCAAGGGAGGACCTCAGCCACTTCCTGGCCTTCCTTGGTACAGCTGACTTCCAGCTGGGCGCAACCGGTGCTGCCGAGCAATCGGTGCGGGTTGTCTTCCAAGCAGGCCGGCCGCCACGGACAAGGGGGTCAAAGGAGGCAAACACAAGCGGGTAGCAGGTGAACATTTGCGGGGGGCAGGGTTTCCCAAGTTCTCAAAGCTTGGAAACGATGGGTTAACTGCCAGCAACCCGCAGGGCTTGCCGCTGTATATGTTTCCTTCGGCCTTTTGAGCGTGTCTTCGCACACGACAGCCACAATTTGCCCAAGTGCCGGGGGTGTGGCACAGAGTCAGGCGACGGCTGGGATTCGACCTGGCTGACACGACAGAAGCTGTACAGCCTCGGAGTTCACGCGGGGCCACTGGACTTCAACCGACGCTCGGCGGATGTTTTTATGGTCTAAACTTCCTGCTTAGTTGGCCTCCGGTGCCGGCTGTCTGGGTGGATTTGGCTTTGCGTTTGGTGGGCGGCCAGTGTTCTCGGTCTGGAGATGACGCGCTCTCAGGTTCGGGGCTGCAGGGCTTTCAGATAGCCGGGGCCTCAGGGCAGCGCAGCTTCAACTTGGGGTGTCCCTTTATTGAATGGAATCTCTTGTTGACCGACCCGATGTCCCTCTTTCTCGGAACTTTGTTTGTTATTCGCTTTTTGTTGTTTGGCAACGTGTACGCCCAGGGGATTTCCTCAGTTCGTTGGATGCGAAGCACTCACAATCCTGAGGTGCACCTGGAGACGCTGCAGGAGGACCTGGCTGCGCTGGCGGAGCCGCTCTGCCAGCTGGGCTTTTGCAGGCAAGTCGGCCAGGATGCTTGGCAATGGCTCATGTCACCCGAATGATCTCCGGACAGCGGAAAGGCAGCCATTCGTGGCGTTGACTTCTTGGGCCATGCAGGTCGAGTTGCGAGGCTGCAAGCACAGTGCATGCCTCCGGCAGTGCACGCCGATTGTATTGTTGACTTTTATGGAGGTTGCTAGGCTGTTGGTTTGACTTCTGTTTGCTTTGACCTTTGAGCAGTTGCTTTCCTGTCCCTTCCTGAGTCTCGAGCAGCTAGGAGCTCACTATGGCTACATAAAGCTTTTGCGCGCAGAGGGGAAGCCAGTCTTCAGCATGGCTAGGCCCCTGCCTCCCTTCCTGCCCGCCAACGTGGGCAGACCCAAAAGGCACGGAGGGGTCGTATTGGAAGTGAGCGCCCGGCCTGGTCACCGGGGCAAAGGTCCTAATGAGTCGTTTGTAGACCTGGCTTTTCAGGTTCGGAGCTTCGGATCGACGGCCCAGGGCGAAAGCGGCGGAGCTGGCAGCTTTGGAGGGGGAGCGGGGCCGTCTGCAGGGAGCCCCAGCTCAGCGGGGGGCCAGGCCTTGGCCATTCTGGTGGCTTTACTTTTTCTTCAGCCAAAGCATAGGTGTTTGTCGCGAGCTTGCCTCTAACTAAAACAGTTGAACGGCAGCTTACGCGTGGTTAAATGAAATGTTTGTGTGCCATGTATACGTTTCAAGTTTCATTCATGAAGCTTTGCCCAAAATAACAAGATGCAAGTCTCGTTTTGCCAGCAGCCTGGTAGCTGAAATTGGAGCTAGCACCTCGCAGTTGGGCCTACACCTTGAGGCAACCACTGCATAGCCGCATAGCCTAGCCAACCACTATAGGAAGGGGTCGGAAATACAAGTCAGGCAGCCTTACACAGAGAGTAGTCACCAGAGGTTGAAGACGGGTGCGGCTTGGCAACTGGAGGCTGGCCCGGTACCGCCGGGACTTTGCGCTGGGCTACTCCGAGGATCCTGCTCGGATGCACGAGGTGCTGAGAAAAAAGGCATTGCAGGGGGAGCGTGCTGGGAAGGGATCGGGATGGTATGACTGTTTGACGCCAAGTGTGGTTTACGATGCCGTGGGCTTGATGGGGACCTCTGCTCGCCCGGCCTCCACTGAAGGTCTTGTGTGTCTGCATCCTTCCGCGGCCATTGTGCTGAAGAAAACGGCGCGGTGGACACCTTGGCGCGGCCTAAAGCCGGCGGCGGCCCTCAGATTGAGTACGAAAATGATTGCCAGCTTCAGTAGTATTTGGAGGTATGGATGCCTGAGACTGTCTATGCCTAGAAGGTTACTGGCTTGTGTTGCGGGGGGCCGTGCAAGCTTCCAACGGCTCGCTGAAATTTCCGCATGGGTCAGTTTTTTTCAGGCTGGCTTCTTGCCTTGTGCCAGCCATGTTGATTACTGCACCTGTCTCGGCCCACGGCTCGAGGCGCCTCCCTGCGCTGAAATCGGATGCTGGCGCCGTCGAGGCCTGCGCAGGCCCTGCGTCAGTGCGCCAGAGGCCAAGTGGGAGATCTCTTGCGCTTTACGCCTGGAATGGGTTGCCGGAAAGGCTTTGAGGCTCTGGCCCGAAGAGCCATGGATTGCGCCACAGCAGCACGGCGGAAGAGAGTAAGATGTGGAGTCCAGAATCCGCAACACACAAAAACCACCCAAGAACTGTGAAAGCTGTTTGTGCCATTGTGTTCAACATGGGAAGCCGGCGGCCGCGCGTCGTTGCCGGCCCAGGCCCCGCTGGCGCGCTCCAGGCCAAGCCATGCGCGTGCAAGCAGCCGACTGGAAGGCCAACGTGCAGGGAACAGTGTGAAGACTTTGTTGTACAACAAGTTTTTGCCTATCTCTGTGTTCGTTTGGCTGGTGGTGTCCTCATGCCTTCTGTTGTGTTTTACTCGCCCTTAGTTGCCGCTTTCCACAACTGGAACCTTTGAGAGTTGAAATCATGTTGAGTTAGCCTGCTGGGGACGGTGCCTGTTGTTTGCCCACGGAAAGCCCCCCCCAACAAAATGCACACACACACACACACTCTGGCTTTCTCGTGAGCTGAGCCTTTCTTCAGCCCAGCTTGAAAACTGTTGGTTCGCAAGGCAGTAGAGCACATGTGCTTTTGGACCATTTGGCTCGGTGTGCTCATGCTCAACTGAACACCTGATAAATTCACGGTACTTTCTGGCAAGCACGGGCAGGTAGTTTGAGCCGTTCCAGGGGGCTTGTGCAGCGCGATCTCATGTCCAGCGTCCTGCAGGGCGAGGTAGTGCAGGTAGGGGAAGATCGGAAGGAAAACGCAGTTGTTCTGCCTTCAATTTGCGAAGTGGGTGGCCCTTCTCACCCATCCCAGGGCTCCGCAGCAGCACCCCGGCGGCTGCGGGGCTTGTGCTTGCAGCGGCAGCTGCGGCCAGGCCAGCGATATCGCTCGAAGCCACATGCGACAGGGATGTCCAAGGCTGCTGCACAGGGCTGAAATTAAACAGCAACATTTAAAACATGAGGTTACTGCCAGGAGCGAGGGCGCCGGGCTCAAACAGCCTCACAGGCGCGGCCAGCGCCGGTCTGCCTGGGTGCTCGCGCGGGGGGGTGAGGAGGCGCGGGGCTTCGCTTCTGCTGGTTTCGGCTCAGCGGCAAAGGCCGGCTGATGTGATCGGGGCAGCTCTCGGCTTCACGTTTGCAAGTGGATTGCCAGAGAATTAATTGGGTGACGCCCTAGTTTCACTTGTGGGTGGCCTCGGAAAGTCTGTGCAACATTTGCTTCTGCAGTGCCCCAGGCACGCTTTGGGAGGGATCAGCTTCACTGAAGAAGCGCAAGTCGTTCTAGCGTTTGCGGCAAGGGTTAGAAAGAACCTCAAGGAGTAGGTTCAGGGTCATCAGCCAAGAAGGCTGCAACACTTTGTCTTCGATCATGCTGCTGTGATAGGCCTCGGTCCCATGGAAACGAGACTTTGTCCGGGCCTTTGAAAGAGATCAAGAATCCGCTGCTACCCGCACGTTACTTCTTGGGGGAGTGGCGGTTGGGGCGCCTTGCCAGCAAACGAAGCCGCTGGAGTTGGTGCGCTGAGAGAGGCGTGGGGTGGCTTGCCAGGCGGAAGCCAAACCTGACGCGCCTCAAACGCCAGGGGCTGAAGGGTAGGGACTAGGGTCAGGACGGTCAGGCCCTTCAGCTTGTTGCAGCTGCCCAAACCAAAACGCAATTTAGGGCCACTCATGTCCTGTTTGTCAACCCCTGGAGTGATTCCATATGTAAGTAGGAGGCCCCACGCCCGTTTCCTGCCACCTTTCCCACGCTTCGGCCAGCGGGGCGTGCAGCGGCAGCCAAGGTTTAACACTGCCGTGGGGGGCCGGCTTCGCTTGAAGCAGATCCTCGAGGCGCGTGCCGCGGTTTCGGTTCAAGGCATCGGTTGGACTCGGGCGGAATGGTTTGCAGGGATGGGAGTTTGCCCTTTCGTTGCTGGGTAATCTCTTCTGGCAATGGTGGGCTGGATGATTTTGTGCCCAAAAGGGAGGAAAGAAGCATAGCATAGACAGAGAGGGGTCAGGCGCATTTGGCCCCTTGCCGCTCGCTTCTTCGTTCAGGCGCCAGACGGCGGACGCTCCCTGATCGGCCAGAAGGTGGTGGTGTGCGGCTGGGTGGGCCACTCAATGGTCTGAGCTACTCAGCACATTTAATGTGGTACAGTACCATTCTGAGCTTAGTGCAAGCGACTGTTGGGGAGGCCACCATGTTTGATTGAACTGCGCTCATCTTGGCCATGGCGTTGTGGAGCGACTGATGGACCGTGGAATTTGTTGAATGATCCGCTTCTATGACACTTTTTGCACCGAACCTTGGTTACCCGCTGGACCATCTGAATTCTCCGCCCTGATTTTGGACATGCCGGCTCCGGCTGTCCAGAAACCCGCACAAGCGCCGCTGCCGTTGCCGACACGTTTCTCGAGGTCCGCACGGTGCGCGCCCAGAAGAAGTGGGCCTTCCTGAAGGCGGAGGGGCACGGCTTTTCTTGATAGTGGTTGGAAGGGAGCCAAGGAGCTAGGGGTATCCAAATCTGCCTTTGCAGAGGGAGCTAAGGAGCTACCAGGAGAACTCAGGACATGGTACCGGACAAAACCTGTTTTGTTGCCTTTGGGCATGTTTGCGGGTTGCCATCGCTGCCGAGTCAGATGTTAGATTTGTCGATTGAGTCCTTACGGAGGCCCTTGCTAGGAGCGCAGAGGGTGACTGCGATTGTTTCAGTTTTTGTTGTTTTTGTTAAAGATGCTTGTTTGTGTCGGTTCCCTGCAATCCGACCCAGACCGAAGATACAATCCTACGCCCAGCCCAAGCCTGCGCACGCCAAACCAATCTTAAACATCATCCCTAAACCTGCCCAAACCACCAAACCCGGTCTAAACCAACCCAAAGCTGACTTTGCGTCAATGCCTAAATCAACCCCCAAAACTCGGCCGGCAAAGTTTTCCCCACACAGCTAAACCGCCAACCCCCCACAAACCAAACACGCTGCTCCTGTTATGCCAGGTGAACGACGGGACCACAGTGCAGGAGAGGGTCGCATGCGCCATATATTGATCTTTGCAGTTTTGTGGGCCTCACACAGCTCATTGGCAGAGAGTATTGAAATGTTGGCTTTCGCTTTCAGCGAACGCTGTTTTAATCAAGCTTCTCAAGCAGTAGTTCGAAGCGAGGATAACCCATTCATTGGCTTGTATGAGCGCCTTGTAAAAATTATCAAACTTGAAAAGCAAACCGGCTGGCGGCCCGCTGCGGGCGACCAATGCCTGCTACGCTTCATACTCCTAGAATGGCCTTCAAACTGCAAGCAGATTAGTTGAAGATTTCCTGCGCATGGCGGGAATGTGCCAGAAACGAAAAGGCATCTTCAAAAAATTGGCCTTTCGGCGCACTAGCGCCCACACACCAGCCATGTGTTACACTTGCAGGAGCTGCAGATTGTTGCGTGGGCCTTGTGCCAACCGGTGGCGAGGGAGGAAGGAAAGTGGTCCTGATTCACATGAGCTTAAGCACAAGTCCCACGTTGCGCAGGGACGCTTAAAGGAAACTTTAAAAGGCAAGAGATCCAGTGTGGACGTACAGAAGGCTGCATGAGCTCGTTTGAAGGGCTTTCCTTTAGTCCCGCCAGTCCATGGTCAGGACGGATGGCCTATGGGCCTATGGCTGAGTGAGACCATGTTGCAGCCGTTTCCATCCAGCAAGCGGCTGGCGAAAATACGCCCTTCCACCAGGCTTCATGCAGGTTTTGTACCCAAGGATCTCACGGAAGACGGCATGCTTCTTGGGGGAAAGCACCGGAAACTAAGACGTGCCATTGATGTGTTACTGCCACTGATTGTAGTGCCACCTCCCGACTCGGTCCGCCGCACGACAAGTTTCCCGGCATGGCGTGGCCGCCCCGCTGCGCTGCTCGGCTGTGGATGCGTACCCCATGTTCAAGAAGAATGACAAGGGCTGTCTGACTGTAGCTGACTCAACTGGCTGGTCTGGGTCTAGTTCAGGCAGAGACTGGGTTGCTCCAAAGCTCAAAGCAATCACCAAACCTCACAGCAATCACCAAACGACAAGAACAAGCAATTGGTTTGTTTGTTTTTGGCAGGATCTTCGGAGAAATCCCGTCAGATATAGCAGCCAGTGATGAGTACTAGAGGCTCATTGCCTCTGCGAAACCGTCCACGAGACAAACAATGTCCTTGATATGGCAGAACACTGATCTCTTTCAAATTGCCTTGGCCTTGATGAGACCTGCAAGACCGAGAAAAGTGAGGCAAGTTGGCTACAGCGCTGTGGCAGGCAGAGTGGGTGGTGAGCAGGGAGGGTCAAGTCTAGGTGAAGCCCTTTGGCGTCAGATGGCGTCGGTGGAGAGGCATTTGTTTGCACTCATGAGCGGGTGCCTAGTTTGACATTCGGCAGGCTTAGAGTAGCCTGCCGGGTGAGGGACAGCATTCCCAACGGCTGAAACCAAAGCATGTATGACATTGACATGCTGCGCCACCCGACGTTGCCAGAATTCCGGGAGACATAAATTGGCCACTCCATTTTGCAATGGTCAGAAAGATCCCCTTCGACCTCGCTGTTTTGCAAAGTCGTGTCAGTCCTGGCCGAATCCTGGAGTCGTGTGGCTTCTTGATTTGTCGCTGAATCATGCTGCTTGTGCAAGGGTAGTCTAGTGTCAAGCTGCCCGGGTGTCACATCGACAGCAATACCTTGGCATGTCATTGAAAGAGCGAAGCCCAGCCCTTTGATCCGCCAGGGCCCTGCACTCCGTGCCTCCTTTGGCACCTCCGGCGCGGTGCGCACGGACCGCACGCCCGGCGTGGGCACTGCACCCAGCGCCGCTGAAGCCGCTGGCGCGGCAGGCGGCTCTTGGTGTCGGCGTTCAGTTTTTTTTTTTTTTCATGTTGTGGGGGGGATTTAGGACATTCGGGGCTTGGGGCAAGATGCAGATTTGCCCAATTTTTGCGAAGATGAGAAGCTGAAGATGGTGCAACTTGTTGTTGCCACCCCATGGCCACATGGCGCAAACAGAGGGTGATAGACTTCTCTTGTCTTGCAGATGTGGCCACTTTGTTTTGGCAGCAATCTGCGCCAGGCGCCTGCGCCAGGTGCTGGGTTGTTGCAGCTGCGGCCGCTTTCGCATGGAGGCTGAAGCTTTGCTGGGCTAGGAAAGGCATAGGTGCAATTTAGAGTCCACGCGCACTGCTAGGGCTGTGAATTTTGAAAGGCTGCACAGCACGCAAAGCACATCGACACATAATTTTACGTACCCTAATTGGCACTACCAACGCTACTGCTGCTATGGCGATGACGACCACAACTTTGACTACACAACTGCTACAGCTACCGCTACACACACTGCTCGCACATCGCCTTGGGCCTTAGGCCCTGCACACCTGCAAGCGGATTTGAACATGTTTTGCAGTCCAGTAGCCCAGCAGCTTCTCGTGATTTCTCATGCCATAGCTGCTGGATCTGCATTTGAATTATGTCGATTCACACGTCTGCAAAAGACATACAGTGAGGGGTATGCCTACAAGAACACACCTGCAAAGGAGCAAGGCGGGCTGAAGACACAAAGAATGGGTTCCGGCTGGACTCATGGGGCAAACCAGTAGGCAAGGCCTCCTCACATACCTATGTAGCAGGATCCCTACAGAGTCGCCCGGTACATGCCGCCAAGTCAATTTATACTATATCTTATACTCATGAGACTCATAATCGACGTCTGTAAACATGGATTGTTTTTTGATATGCATAGTAGAAACATGATCTTGGCACCTGTGCCAACAACTTGTTCCCCCCTCCCCCCCTGGATTCCTGCCACAGCACCGAGCCCCAACCACAGACCGCGAGCGGGGGCCGGATGCTCCGGGACCGCCGCCCATTCCGCCGTGCCCTGGCTGAGAGTCCAAACTGTGGGCGGAGCAGGGTCTCCATAAGCTGCACATACGGGCATTTCCAGGAAGTTTGTGTGTTGTTTTTCTTGATCCTAGTGCCTTTTTGCAGACAAGCGCAACTGCAGACGCAACAGCGACAACCACACATCATGAAAAGCAGGAAAAATGAGACATGTTAGACTGTGCTGGGGAATCTGCAAATCTGCCAAGGTACTTCGTGGAAGTCTTCCGGGGTATGGGCCAAGTGGTCTTCTGCAACAACAGCTTCTCGGGAATCCTCATTGCAGGGGGGCCTAGCCTGCTGCTTAAAGGGGTTCCTCCAAATAAACTTACAGTATTCCAGCGCTGGCTTGTGGTTGCGCAGGCTAGCCGCAGTGACTGGCCCTGCCCTGGACTTCCTTCCAATTGGAGTTCGGTTTCTTTCATGGAAGGTTATTTTTTTTTGGATTTCTTTGCATTGGCTGGGGCGTGCACGGTGGGCGGCACTCACCTTAGCACCTTTCTCCGAAGGCCGCGGCTCTCTTCGCGGGCGACGCGCAGTGCCCCGCCAGCAGCATGGTTCGGGTCGCACACTTGTCGGCAGGTTTGTTGGGTTACTTGACGCCGTGCAGGGCTAGAATTCATGTTGTTCCGAGAGGACATAGATGTGCCTGATGTGCCCACAATGCTGGAAGAGGATGCTTGCGCACCGGTGTTGGCTTGTTGTTTGCGAATTGTCAGCATCCAGCCATGTTCGGCCGGTGTTGCATTTTCTTTTCTTTGGCGCAAACCGGTCCAGGACCGGTACCTTGGCGTTGCTGGGCTGCAGCTCGGCCACGGCGCTGGCGAAGCTGCTGGGGCAGAGCCCGCAGAACGTGGAGAGCGGCCTGGCAGGCGCTGGGCTTCCATGGTCGGCCGACGCGTGGAATGGGATGGGTGGTAGTGAACGTTGCGCTGGGAGAATTACGCAGGTTTTGTTCCCTTGAGGTTTGAGATGCAACAGCGCGTTTTGAAGGTTGTTGTGCATGTTTTGGAGTCATGGCCCCCATTCTGGTCAAACCGACCGGAGAGTGAAACAAGCCGGGAATTTCAAGACACATGACATGCCAAGTTCCTTGCGTCTTCGTCCATATGTCAGTAGATCGGATGCCTTGCATCAGCTCCAACTGCTTGCCCCAAGCGCCCATGCGACGGAGGCTACAACGGCGCCTTGGTGGGCTGCGCCCTCTCCGTCTTCGAGCCGGGCCTGGGGCTTTGGGCCAACCTCGCCACGCAGCTCGGGTCACCGGGCTGCAAGGGCGGCCACGTTGGGCAAGGCGCCCGATGCGAATTTGCGATGAAATCGCAGTACTTGCGGCTGGGGCGAATTGCCAGCCGTGAATTGCAGCTGGTGGGGCAAGTGGGTAAGTTAGCCCCGATGTCAACTCAGCGTTTTTCCGCGCTCGTAAATTCAAATTCGCTCATGTCCTGTGGATAGATGATGCAAATATTCAATACCAAATGCAGACAACGCAACCTAGTTGAGTGGCAGAATGTGCCAGGTTGGACTGCAAGTGCTTCGCTTTGGCAGGAAGCCTTCCTTCATCAGAAAGCCCTTGCTGCTTGAACATACCTGCTTCTCACAACAGACGAATCATGCCTGGCAATAGGCAAGTTCATTGCCCTGAGAGGAATCCGAACCAGCAAGGGCTTTATGACGTTATGAATATTCGATCTGGAACTTGCAGGACTCAGTGCAAAGGCAATCAGAGACCAGTCAAAAGCACTGCATTCTGCATCATATTTTGGAGCTGCTTGTGGCGGCAACAGCCAGAACACCATGCGCCGGTTCACCCGGCACTCTAACCCCTCAAGCCCGTCAATACATCAACGAGCTGCGCAGCTCCCCCCTCCGCACCCGACCGAGCGGTTCAGGTCTCCATGGATGGCACCCTTGGGCACAGCGGCACTCACCGTCGTGCTCGGCGCTGCCACGGCGCCCCTAGCGGCGACACCTGTCTGATAGGGGCTGGTTGAGGATGGGGTGCTTTAACGGCAAGGCTTTCTGGTCACATGATGTTGGATGGAAGCTGAAGAGGCGCGTTTCTTGGGGTGGCCGTGAGCAAGGCTTGCAACTGACACTGCTGCAGCTCTCAGGGCCTTGGGGCCGCGAATGGCTCCGGTGCCTCAATGGACCATCGCTTTCAACCTCACCGTGCTTGCGGTGCCTTGGCTTTAAGGCACACGTTGCAGGTTGTCCTTGCAATGTGGTGCCTCCTTCAACTAGCGTGTTCAAGGCGACGCCTTTGCGCTTTCTTTTGAAATGCTGGATCTACAGAGGCATGGGCCATAAGCAACGCCGCTTTGCTGCCAGGCAAGAGAGCTAGCAGCTAGCAATCACAGGACTTGCTCGCACCTTGGAAGTTTGGTTGCCAAAGCCACGTCTTTGGATATTTGTGATGGCTAACTTGGTTAGCAAATTGATGCCTACAGTGCCTACAGTCGCGCATGGACAGCTTGGCCTTATGCTGGTGCATGGTTTGCAGTTCAATGGGCCCTCTTCCGAGTGACGCCGTCCATTGCAAGGTTTGCTTCGGGCCCCGGATCATCCCAGATGCCTTTCGCATGAGTGACATGAGTCAATGGGAGGCCCCGGCCGAGGTGCTGGCCTTCTTCGCCCTGGCGGAGGGCAAGAAGGCGCCGCCCCCGCCGCCAGAGAAGAAGGCGCTAGACCTGGGCGCGTGGTTCAACCGCCCAGGACTCAAAGTTCGCGTAGTGGGAAAATGGCCGCCAGTACCGAGTCCTTTTCGTTTTGCCCTGGCGCACGATGTCCATGCCGGGAGGAATGCCGGTGGATCTCCTGGAGATGACGCTGCAGGGCGTCTCGCAGATCTTTGTGGTGCAGAATGGGTTCGCAGGAGTGGGTGGTGCGGTGCAGGGCAGGGCTGGTGGCAACCAAACATTCCAGACTGGAACATGTGGAAGGAAGGCACGGCAGGCACAGCCATTCATTGTGATGGAGGTTGGCAGGCGGGCCCTCGTTGTGTGAATATTGAATTCGGGCTCCCCGCTTTCAAATCTGGCCCTTAGCTGGACCCTCTATCCCGCTCAGCTCCCTCGCGGTGCTCCGGAGGCTTGATGATTCTGGCAGGGCGCCTTGGATGGATTTGGATGGTACTGTAAGCTGGCCACCGTCGGCGGCTGCGAAACCATTGCTTGTGGGGCAAGTTGTTTTCAGACTGGGTGGGGCTCGGCGAGGTCATGTAAAACTGGGTGTGGGCATGTTTGGAGAGTTTCTTTTTTCCAATGCAATCTCGGATTTTGCATGCTTCCAGTCGGACTTGCTAGATGGGCCCCAAGAAGTGTAACGAGGGATCCGTCCCCACGCCTGCCTGTTCGCGCCCCTTCGTTTTCAGAGTGAGCACCCATAGGCAAGCATCGTCACCTTGCAGTGGGTCAAGCATTCTTACATGCAGGTCTCTATGGGGGATGCCACAAACAGATGCCTCGTCAGTGTTGCTCTTGCATAGTGACCGCGGTTCGAGCAATGCAGATCGGCCTTCTTGGAGCTTCAGGAATCTGGGGTGTGCTGAGGAGATCTCATAAAGATCAAAGCCAGGTGGTCTCGCGCCCCTTTGAGTGGTAAGGTGTTAGGGGGGGGGCGCAATTGTCTTCAATTGCCAAGGCCCAATCATTCTCCTTGCTCCCAGCATCTCATTGAATGATATATGTTGGGGTGCCTTTCCAGTGCGGCTGAGGATCTTTTGCTATTCGCCGGCAGCAGCGGGGCTGACCTTTGCGGGATCCCTGCTGGGGAACCTCACTGCGATGTTCAGCGGTTGTGACATGGAGGAGGCGACCGTTTCCAGAAGACTGCAAAGCTGTGAGGGAGTGGGTTGTTTGGCAGGGGAGTGCTGAGCTCGACTTGAATATATGGAGTGACGGGAAGTCGCAGTACAAATTTACCTGACCAGCTTGCAATTTGCCTGCATAGAGTTTGAATTGGCGAATTTCTCGCAAGAGACGGCCAGGTGATGGACGGCCTTTGGGGCTACAACGCGGCGCTGACTTCACTGGCAGTGGGGACGCTCGCTTCTTCAATTGGGGGTTAAGAAGGGGTGCCCTTTGAGTTTAGGCATCAAGCCAAGGTGTTTCATAGGGTTGCCGCGCTGACACCATTTCCAAAACATTTGCAGTGAGACTTCAAGAGAAGTTTGAAAGCGCCACTGCCCGGGCCAAGATTTGTTACTTCCCACGTAGGCGGGTTGCAGTGGCTGCATTGACCCTGGCACAAAGAGCAAGCGTCGGTTCTTCTCATTTGGAATAAGCAATCACGGGACCGTAGGTTTTGGTCCGTGTTTCCAGTTACCAGGGTACCATGTTGGCTACCAATGTTTGACCGACCGCAAGCCAAACGATGCATTGGCTGAGGATATTCTTTGTGCCGCTGGGCCGGGAGTATTATGCCCTGGCCTGTGCAGGCGCTTTTTTTTTCCCGAAAGCATGGCGAAGGGTTCTTCCGCTGGGTTCACTTGAGTTGTTCTCATGAGAGTCATTACAAGGTGTCATTGCAAGGAATCATCATCATGAAAGTCATTGCAAGGAGTCATTGCAAGGAGTCATTGCAAGGAGTCATTGCAAGGAGTCATTGCAAGGAGTCATTGCAAGGAGTCATTGCAAGGAGTCATGGCAAGGAGTCATTGCAAGGAGTCATTGCAAGGAGTCATTGCAAGGAGTCATTGCAAGGAGTCATTGCAAGGAGTCATTGCAAGGAGTCATTGCAAGGAGTCATTGCAAGGAGTCATTGCAAGGAGTCATTCATTGCAAGGAGTCATTGCAAGGAGTCATTGCAAGGAGTCATTGCAAGGAGTCATTGCAAGGAGTCATTGCAAGGAGTCATTGCAAGGAGTCATTGCAAGGAGTCATTGCAAGGAGTCATTGCAAGGAGTCATTCATTGCAAGGAGTCATTGCAAGGAGTCATTGCAAGGAGTCATTGCAAGGAGTCATTGCAAGGAGTCATTGCAAGGAGTCATTGCAAGGAGTCATTGCAAGGAGTCATGAGAGTCATTGCGAGCTGCGCATGGAGTCAAGTGCAAGTTGCAAGTGCAAGGAGTCAAGTGCAAGTTGCAAGTGCAAGGAGTCAGGTGCAAGTTGCAAGTGCATGGAGTCAAGTGCAAGTTGCAAGTGTAAGGAGTCGAGTGCAAGTTGCAAGTGCAAGGAGTCAAGTGCAATTGACTTGCGAGGAGTTAAAATCTCTTCTTAGGGCGGCGGGGTAGTGCCGACGACACTACACGAAAATCGACCCTCTGCGGGGATCGGCGTGGTCGAGGTGCAAAAACCCATGGTTTTTTGCGATTTCTGCGGTGCTCGCGCGACCCTCTGCGGGGATCGGCGTGGTCGAGGTGCAAAAACCCATGGTTTTTTGCGATTTCTAAAGTGCCGCGCGACCCTCTGCGGGGATCGGCGTGGTCGAGGTGCAAAAACCCATGGTTTTTTGCGATTTCCAACATGCCCGCGCGACCCTCTGCGGGGATCGGCGTGGTCGAGGTGCAAAAACCCATGGTTTTTTGCGATTTCTGCGTTCGCGCCCTCTGCGGGAATCGGCGTGGTCGAGGTGCAAAAACTCGAGGTTTTTTGCGACTTTTGTTGTTCGAACTGGTCCTCGGGAGTTGTCTCGTGGTTCGCGCGCCTGCTCCCGGAACCGGCGGGTCGCGGGTTCGATTCCTCCCTGGTCCGCGGGCGGGCGTCGCAAGATGCAACTTGCATTTTAAAGCAACTTGCGCAGAGCAACTTGCGCAGAGCAAGTTGCACAGAGCAACTTGCGCAGACCAACTTGCACCGACCAGTTTGCGCAGAGCGCCTTGCCTAGAGCAACTTGCGCAGAGCAACTTACGCAGAGCAACTTGCACAGAGCAACTTGCACAGAGCAGCTTGCACAGAGCAACTTGCAGGGAGCGCAATTTGCACAGAGCAACTTGCAGGGAGCCACTTGCAGGGACCAACTTGCCGGAGCAACTTGCGCGGAGCAACTTGCGCAGAGCAACTTGCACAGTGCAACTTGCGTAGAGCAACTTGCGCAGACCAACTTGCACCGACCAGTTTGCGCAGAGCACCTTGCCTGGTGCTGTCTCGCGCTTGCTTCACAAATGCTTCGTGTAGGGATGCAGCGTTGGGCCGACCTCGCTTGCGATGTTCTGCTTTCGGGCCAACCGTGGTCTAGTTCAAACATGGCGGGAAAGCGCCAGATCTAACAAAGGCAAAACAGGCGCAGGAGCCAGCTTACAACTACAAATTAAGTTTGCACATGGTGGCTCATCCCTTGTTGTTGCGAGGCCTTCAGCCATTGTGGTATGATGCCGGTGGCAATAAATCAGGGCTTGCTTGGGAGTAAGACTCGGAGCTCATGTGCGTTGGGGTCACCGCTTTCTGCTCGCAAGCAGCTGGGGATGGTCGTCAACCAGCTGGGTTTGTCTCAAAATCAGAGGCTTTTCCCACATGGGTGGTGTTTTTCTTTTTTTTCTTTTTTTCCTTCCGACCAACGAGGGCTGTGCCAAATCGGGCAGGCGCGGTGGCGGCCACGGGCGCCACGGCGGTGTGCAAGGCGTTGCTGGCGAAGGCGCTGCTGCCGCCGATGACGGTGCCCTTCTGCGCGGTGGCGCCCTTCGGCTTGAGCTCTCGGGATGGACCTGCCTTTGCGCTTTGCGCTTTGCGCTTTGCGCGCGGGCTGCCCGGGGTGAAATGCGCTTTAGTTGGGGGATCCATTGTTTGAATGAGGGACGGGCGAATGTGGGAAGGGGCTGGAGTGGCTAGAGATTTTCTCAAGTGAGGCTGAGTGGCTTTGATGGTTTCGTGCTTGTATGCTCGTGTTAAGGTCCGGTTGCTTCTTGCTGGGCAATCGCCTGCCTGGCCTGAAGTTGGCGCGAACTCCCGTCTCCCCAGAGATCAACCACCATGCCTACCATGCCTTCTGAGCGGTGAGCTGAGCGTGGGGACGAGTGAGAATCGGCGGGGTGCCATTCTTAAGGGATAAAGGCAGCTGATGGTGGAAGTGGTAGAGCTGGGGTGCGGGCAGAGTGGGGCTGCGTCTTTCGCAGTCTCGAGGCTTTTGGCCGTCAAGGGCTTCGTGCCTCACATCTTCCTGGCTGGCCGATGCGTGTGGTTTGGCTTGGGTCGCCTTGTCTCTGGCACAACAATGCCACAGATGCATTGTGTGTTTTCAGAAGCAGTTGCAAGCACCACTGCGCGCAACGAGCCGTAGTGGGCGGCTCACCTGCGGAGAATGACGAGGCCATGCCTGCGTCGAAAAGACATCGCTTTGCATCTGGAAAATGGGCCCTAGAAAGAAAAGTGCCGGGGCAGCGAATGTCGGCCGTTTGACTGGGGTGTCTCCAGGTTGATTTCACGGTTTGGGGTTAGGAAAGTAGGAAGCTGAGGAAGCCTTGCCTCCGCTATGGAGCCCAGGTCGTGGCGGAAGCCGAGGGCTTCGAGGCCGCTGGCACCCAAGTTGATGCCTTCGACGTGGGCGCGCTTGTTCTGGGAAGGGCTGCCGTTGGAAGAGCTGCTTTCCCGGACTTTTTCAATAGTTGACTCGGTGCTTCTATCCCCTAAAGATGACTGCGTCTGCTGACTGTCAGCAGCCCTGTCGCCGGCTTTTTTCGTCTCCACAATTCAACCTTTCACGATGATTGAAGCGGTTTCTGCTCTTCAGTGGCCTGGACTCGGCTCCCCAAATCCTGAGGTCTGCGCCCAGGGCACCGGCGCGTCGGTGCGGGTGGAGGGGGAGGTGGTGGAGTCCCCGGCCAAAGGCAGGGACCGCAAAACGGGGGGACGGGGTGGCGCTAGCCCTGAATTGCCAAAAGAAAGAGGGTGGCCCAAGGGAGGAAAGAGGTGGATGGTGCTGCCAAGCACGCTGCCCTGCGGGGAATGGCGGTTGAACGTTGGGTTAGAGAAATGGGATGCCGCACAGTCGCAGGGCCAAGGCTTCGAACCGTTCCGCAGTCTAATCTATGTAAGCAGGTGAGGCAGACAGCACGAAACTCATGAACGAACAAGGTGGCAAGTTTTCCACATACGCGGGTCCCCTATCAGCAAAAGGAAGGAATGATACGAAATCAGAGTACACAGAGCATAGGCCGTGCCAATTCCTCTGCCAGGTCTCATGTTGATTCGGCGGAGAGTTCCGGTGGTTCCAGAGCGCTCGCCAAAAATCCGACTGGCACGGCACAGTGAAGGCGCCACACCCACCATGGCCTAAGGTGTATCTTCAAGCGGAAATGCGAGGAGGGTTCATCATTTGCATTCTTCACGTATCGACCTCCGCCTTCAACTCTTCCATTAACTTTCAGGCCAGGCCGTGGAGATCTCTTGCAGCAGCGCGGGGGAAGCCCGGTGATGGCGTTTTTTGAGCCAGGATTCTGAGAGAACTCCCAAGTACCACAATACTTCACAGCCAGGTACAATAACTGTTTATATGTAGCTTGCATCACGGCGTCTTTGGAGTATGGTTTGAACCTCCCCTTACTTTTTGAAACTGAACTATCTGCTTCAAAGCCCTTGCGGTTGGCAACCACTTGACGCGGGCGCCTTTTTTTCCTGGAGCCGGCTCTTCAGGCAACTGTTTGCTCTTTGCGATGATTGAAGTGCCCATTGCTCATTAGGATCAATTTTGTTAGCACCCGTGTGCTCCACCCATCTTCTCTTGAGCATCTCTTTCAGGCTCGGGCTTGGTGGATTTTGGGTGTTATTGTGAGTTGAGATGCCTCACATCAATAGCCTGCTGGCCAGTTTGCAACATGGGCACCTGTCACCTTTGTTCTGGCGGCCCAGGCCGAGCACCGGGCCCGGGCCCAAGCTGGCCAGTGGCTGGTCTGACTGTACGCGCATTCCCGCTGGAGCTTGTACGCGTTCTTTTGCAACGGGCAAGGCTGGAATTTGAGAGGCGCCAATTTATTGGGGGATCCTTGTTTTTGTTTGCAAAGCGGCCTACCGATTCCTATCTAGACGCTCGTGGTTCCAGGGCCCATCACATGACCATGACATGTGCCACAGCAGTCCAGCAACAGGACTAAAGGTCTCGACCAACTCAGGTCGAGGTGCTGGGAGCCGTCGAGTCCAAGGCGCCATGGTGACTTTTGGCAGTTGGGGCCGGCCTGCCCCGAGCGGTTTCTCCAAACCCGTTCATTTGGGGGGCGGTTTTGTGTTTAGTTGGCCGAGGTCAGAAGCCCTTGATGGGTCCTTGGGGAGGTTCAGAGAATGCACCTCACCATGAGAGCTGCTTCAGGGAGCCATGGGACCTGGGAATCGAGAGGGTTTTGTCCAGAGGCGGCTGACGCATGTGGATGCGCGCGGTCCACTATGGCTAAATTGGATTGAACAGCAAGCTGGCTGGTCCCCACCACCTTGCAGTTTTAGACGGGTTCTGCGCAAGTTTCCTTTTGAGAAGGAGTCCATCACCTTGACTGCTTCAGGCGTACCCGTTGGCCAAGAAGCCAGGACCCCCAGCACTGCCCGTGGGTGGTTTGGGTTCGACTGCCTGACCTACTGAAAAGGCCTGCTGCCAGATAGATGGGTTTCGCTTGCAGGTGGATGGGTTTTGCTGAGGGCGGCATGCGTTCAATTGAGGAAGCACAGCATCGAGTACTTGCGGGAGATCGCGCACTTGCGACCAAGGCGTCAGGGATGCGCATGAATAAAAGGGGGAGGATACAAGGCAAGGGCTTTGTCCAAACCTAGGCCATGAAAGTGCAAACTAACCATTTGGGGGTCCGTAATTTGGACACGCACGCCCGCGGATCCTTGTAAACAAGACACTGGGGAACACGCAGAGAAACCATGGCAACCAACAAGAACAATCCCAGAGTCGGATTTTTGTTTGGGGAATACTTGCTGGAAGTATATTGCAGGTGTTCTGCTAACTACTTTAAAGAGCCAGTGGCACAAGTGCGTGGTAGACATGCGCGTTTGAAGGCCTCGCTGTGGATGTATTGTGCGTCTTGCCGGGCCAAAGTTGGGTTCTTCATGTTTTTGAAGCCAACTTCCTGTAAACGCTGCTCAGCTTCTACAGGGTGTGTCAGCAACTGAGGCCGCGTCAGCTCCGCTTCTTTGGGTATTGACATTGCCGCAGCTTTGGCTCAGCAAGGCAGGCAGCCGGCAGCCGGACGAAGCGTAGAAGTTAGGCGGTCCCTGGCTCACCTCTGAAAGTCACGCCGAAGTCAAATAAGCATATTTGTGCTGATGCTATTCCACACGTTCATGTCATTGACAATCCTTTTGGCAAGGTCAACCCGCAAGTGCTCAAGCTGTGCAGCGCAACCATGCACTTGTGATGCCTGCCCTGGTTCAGCTGCTACTCAAACAGAACAGGACAGAAGAGTTGCTTCCACCACAAGACAGCGTTCTTCAGATTTTGGGTCAGGTATGTCAAGCGTGTCAGCTATCCCGTCCAGCACCCTACTTGAAGCCCACCCTCCAGTCGCAAGCTGCGGTCGGGCCATCTTGTCACGGACAGGCCAGCTGTTGATTTTCCGGGGCTCACAGCATGCGCCGCGCTGTCCCGGCGTTGGTGCCTGTGCTGCCGTTAGTGCCGCTGGCGTTGCCATGCCTCAAGGCCGGCGTGTCGTGCCGCTTTTGGTAGAGATTTGCTGCATCTTGGTAGAACCAAACATCTGCCCGGGTCGGCTTGACGTGCATTGGTAGGTTTGGTGCGAACACATCATTGCCATACTCGTGGGAAGGATGCCGTTTGGACCTGCCAGATGTATTGAGCCAAGCCGGCACACCTGGAGTAGCATCGCAGGTAATTTGGTGTTTCAATGGAGGTCGGGGTAGGCACTGAGCGAGATGTAGCATGTCGCTTTCCTGATGTTTTGCCTCTGTACCATGATTGCTAAGCAAGTGTCGGACTTGTCAGGTTGCTGGTTGCATCGGCGGCCTTTGTGGAACATGCTGAGATTTGTCTCTCCTAACGGGATTCAATTGCTAGTGTTTGCAGCAGCAGCCTCTACAAACCAATGCTGGCATTTTTTTCATTTTGCACATCGCCGGATAAACTCGCAAAGCTGTTCAAAGTGTTATTGTCACCGCTATCTCGCCAAGACAGACCGAACTTCTGCAACGTTCGTTATTTCGAACATATACAGTTCCTTTGACTTGTTGCTGGGTGCGAGGCGCGTGACCGTGCCAGAGCGCGCCCACTCAACTGCGAGCATGACAAGCGCTTTGAGCTTGTGGATAAGGCTCGGGAGGTTGGGGGCTAGGCTGCGATTCTTGGTCAAGGGCAGCTTGGCGTGGACTCAGCCTCGGAAGTTTCGGGAGGGCACCAACCTGGGCTATTGACCGTGACTGCCCGAGATTATCAGTGATGAGCTTCTTTTGCAATTATTTTTTGGAGAACATCGGTTTACATCCCATGGCGGTGCGGTGGATGGGCTTATGTAGTGAGGGGTTTCGTCAATCAAGCCCGTATGCTTTGAGCGGAGCCCGCAAGTGAGCTTGCACAGCTTGACAAAGAACCATATCCAAGGTGGACATAGCACTGGTTTGGATTTTTGTTCGCTCCCCTTTGCTGTGCCATGCCCTCCCTGCAAGAGGGTTTGGAGCATCGATGCTTGCAAAAGGCCAAGTACCTCCAGTCCAAGCGAGCTGCTTCCAACGAGTACTTCGAGGCAGCGAAGTGTTTGCCCAGCGGCCCCGGATTTGGGGTGACGGTGCTTGTTGACGACCGTTTGTGTTTCAGGCGGCTGCGGCATGTGTTTGAATCTTTAAGGCTTCTTGTTGTGCTGACCCATCAGCTTGTTGATGGAAGATGCATGCTGGTTGTGAAAGTAGGCGCAGATGACATGTTGTCCGTCATTGCTCTTCAAAGCTTCCTTGGACCCTCCGACGCTCACTGCAGTAGATCGGAAGGAACAAAGCTGAGAGCACCCTGGCACTGATTGTGGGGAGTCGGGAGTCGCACAAACTGACCCCGCAAGAGCCATCCGCAAACATTGGCAAACGGGGCCCTCTGGATGACGCATTGCACCCCAGGCGGCGGGGGGCATGCGCTGCTGTGACCTGAAGGTGGGCAGCGGCAGGGTGGCGGTGACGCTCGGAGTGAGACGAAGGGTTCCTGGCGCAAGTGTTCTCGAACCGGGCCAATGATGGCACGTGCCAGAAGAGGAAGAAGAACAGCTGGTGTGTCAATTCAGACCCGTGACATCGTTACGAAGCAAAGAGGAAGAAGAAGAAGAAGAAGAGGCACCCCGTCAACGCAGCTGTGATGGTTGCCGGGGATCGCGCTCCAGCTTTCCAGGGCGGCGGCCTGGCCATCCGTTGCCATCCGTTTGTCCAACTTGCGACCATGGTGGTTTTTCATCTCCAATTTTGTGGTGCAACTGCTTGACTGGAAATGATGCATCGCAAGGAAGGGAGTGCTGGTGGCAGTGCACTTTGAAGGCGCCCGGCTGCGAGTCACTGTCATGTGCCAGCCCTGCCTGCAAAACTTGCATAGGCAGGCCAAAACAATCAACGACACTTGTTGACCCGAGACCATCCCTGAAACAAGGGACCCCTGTCAAGTCTTGCGCTCACTGCCAAATCTCTGTCTGCAAGTGCGCTGCTCCCAACGCTGCACGGACCCGTGGGGTGAACGGGTCACGGCATGCGAGCCAGGCAAGCGCCTGAATGGCAAGCTGCTGGAAACCTCCTGGAGCCTTGGAAGCCCGCCCTGCATCGAGGCACGTTCTGCGCCTCGTCACGGCGAGGTTCAGGTATGCGGCGCGGGTGCCCTTGCGGCCATGTTGGGAAAGACTGCAGCCCTCCATCGTGCAACGCAAAAATGGCAGCAAGTTCAGCAACTATGAAGGGAGTAGCATTGGATTATTCCAGGTCTCAGCCAGCAGGCGCAGCCAATTGCGAAGGGGTTTCGAGTAGATAGGTGCGAACTAGGAAGGTAAAAACAATGTCAGTTCTTTGTCCTGAAGATGTCGGAGACCGAGAGTGATCGAAGCGTTTCGAGTCACCCAACAATGGATTCCGAATCCCGTTGCGCACTCTGCCCTCACCATCCTCTCGCCACCCCACGGCAGGCAGGCAGCACCCCAGACTTCCCGGCGCTGGGGGAGGGCGTGCTGGGCATGCGCGAGGGCGGGCGACGGGAGCTCATCGTGCCGCCCCGCCCGGGACACCCAGAAGTTCTGTCAGCGTTTCCTTGGGAGGTTGCGCCCTGATGGTTTCAAAGCTGGGAGGCGTTGTGGCCATGCAGGTCAATCTCATAGGCAGCCTCGTTTTGGGCAATGATTCCAATCTCAAGTGGTCATGGAGACTCCAGGCAACGCCAAAAACAGATTGAAAGCCAAAACGGAAAACACGACTAAATCAAGCTCGACAAAAAAACGAGACTGAACACACAGCCAAACTGGCGAATCAACACTAACAACACCATTAAGTCAACAGAAAGGGTTCCCTGCATTTTCCCAAGAGGGTCAACATAGGTGCCACAGGAACCTTATTTTGCTCTACACACTGTGAGTTCGCCGACTTCTTGAGGAAGCAGTGGCGGGCCCGACGGCATGGTACCGGTGTGAGCAGCACGGAGTGGTGCCCCAAGGCATGAACCGTGCCGGGGTGGAGGAGATCATGGCGTACACGCTGGAGCTCTTCACCGTGGGCTCGCCACTTGGACGTCACGATTGTGAGGGATGTGAATTTGACCATCGGCGATGGATGGAACTGAGGATGGTGAGGATGTAAGGCGTGTCTTGTTCCCTTGCCATGTTCATGGGAGTTGGGTTGAAGCACAAAAGTCCAGCGAGGAGAGCAGGCTTGGGTGACAGGGGGCAAACCCTGCATCAGGCCATATGGATGACGCCCTGAAACGCCACATGCTATCTGGCAGATGGGCAATGATCACATCATAGCATGCTTGAAGCTGGAAGCTGCCCAAAGCAACCCGAGAAGGGAATGGGAAGGTCTTGTGTAGCCCTCTACAATTTCCCAAGGCTCCTTGCTGCAAGCCAATAGTCTTTTAAGTGGACACATGGATTCGTGAAGGGTAGTCGATGTTTGTGGCAGACTTGGAGGGGGTCCTTACAATACTCTTTCCCATCTTGGCTCAGGAATCAGCATGAACCTCCTCCCGAGGAGCCACCAGAGCCGGCCACGTCGCCAATGACACGTGCCGCCCGGCAGAGCGATCTCACATGCCCACGAGCGTCCATGGCCACCAGTCAAAGATTGCAGCCTTTTTGGAGGGGCACTTCGATTTGGCTTAAACTTTAATTCCCGCGGATCAGCATTTTGAGGTGACCACTTTGGTGGTCGGAGCTCTGGAATCCTTCCAGAAGGGGTGAGACCCCAGGCATGCCGTTTGCTCCTGCGCAAGAATTAGACCCCAGGAGTCCAGTGCCCTTGTCCCTCTCTGGAATTAGTTGTAGCTCAGTTGAAGTCACTTGAGCTTTTCAACATCTCCCTGGATTTCCAGGGGCGCATCCTCAAGAGCCCCACTTAACCTACCCTTAACCTACCGAACCGCGGCTCGCTCAGTTCTGGCAGCGCTTGGTGGGCGTGCGCTGAACACCAAGTGGAGTTGGAAAAAACGCCGGGCGATGGCATCAGTAGTCGGCAGGAAAGGATAGCCGGCAGCAACTTTCTTTGGGTTCAAAGATTGAACTCGTTGAAACTAAATCAACGATGGGAGACACACACACACACAGACACATATTAGCCCATGTCAACGTCGCATCGCTTGCCTTTGGATCAACTTTGAAGATTTGCGCTTTCTGTACGCATTCCTCAGAATGGCGCCGCCGGTGTGGCAGGTCGAATCTCATCGGAGCGGTGAGCCGCGTGCGGAGCAACCTGGCCATGAGTGCGCCGCGGCAACTTCTCCGGAGACGGTCTCTGTTGATATTATCTTGGCTTTGCATGCCCTTTTTGTTGCAGTTGATTAGAGTCCCCCCCCTTCCTTTTCTTTTGGCAGGGCGGTCTATGTGACATATTCTGCATATCTATGCCTGAGCAATTTGGAAGGGGCAGGTTTTATGAGTCACAACTTGGTGCCGGGAGGTACGCACCAGTTCTTCCAAGACAGAGGCTTCCTCTATGTGCCGACACCTCGGCGGGTCCGAGTTTGGCACAGTTCCAGTCACGAAGCGTTGCTAGGGTCATTTGTGCTCCGAACTCTGAGCAGGGGAGGGCGACCAGTCCCGTTGCGAGGCACACGCCCATCATCACCACTGCGGACTGCGAGGGTGCCGGCGAGATGTTCGAGGTGGCTTCCCAGGCAGGGGGCGGTGGGGGCTCCTCTTTTGTGCGTGCGCGTGTTGCTTTAGAAACGTTTGATTGTTGTAGCACCACGGGTGGAGCCTTTGCTGCTCATTGCTTTGACGAGCCGAACCTGAGTTTATGAGATTAAATGCTTCATGACGAGCGTTAGCTATCGCAAACCCTTTCACACGCATTGTTTGACCACCACTTTTCAGCATGTGCAATGGGAATGGGTGAGCAATACTGCAATACGATGAATGGCTCTGCTGGCAATCCTGCAGCAGTTCTTTCACAAGGAGATGAGCGCCAAGGCATGACTGCCAAGGATCTCTGTGTGTGCGTGCGCGTTGCAGGGGAATACTTAGCACATGCACACTGGCAGCCAGGGGCAGGGTAAGGGCGAGAGCGGCTTCTTCGGACGCCCTGCCTATTTGACTGCCACGTCCTCAGGGCCCGAGGTCATGGGGTCCCAAGACCACGGTGGGAGGACTGTTGCCTTCATAACCGAGATCTGAAATCCCTCCGTGACCTTTCCTTCACGTTGGGCCATGCTGAGTTCCCCGGCCGGGAAAGGATGAGTGTGCGATCCCAAGCGCCGCTTGCCCGAATGAGCGAGAGAGCTAGGTCAGCGGCCAACTGGCTGTAGAGAACTTCTGCTGCGGCCTGGGGGATGCCGCTGAGCCCAGAGTCTGGGTCTGGAAGGTGGGTTCAATGCTGGGATTGGGCATCCTTCGCATGCGTTGCAGATCTGAAACCTTTGGACACCACGCCCTCACAATATGCATCGTTTTTTTTTTTTTGATACGGAAGCTTCCATGTTTCATTTCGAACAGTTGATTTGCTTGGGATAAACCAATGCCACCTCAACACGGTCTTTACTACATGAGTTCGCAGCAGTGGACGCTTGCGTATCAAGTGCACTGCAGGTTTCACAATGATCCGGGCCACCTCAAGAGCTTGGTTTTGGTTGCGCTCGGAAGGGTTCCACATGCCTGGTCAGCAGATTCCAGCTTTGGACCCTCCGGTCCACCAAAATACCGGTTATGGCCGGCCTGGAGTGAGAAGCGAAGCTCTTGAGAAGCTCCACTTGGTTGCCTCAAGGAATGCTGCAAGCCACAAGTGGTTCCCGGCAAATGATTCGAGCCGGCGGACAGCTTCCAGCGCACTGCCTTGAGGTCTACACCTTTGGTCCCACCTTCCGCGCGGAGAACTCCAGCGGCTCGCCTCCAGATTGGGCTGGGGGGAGGGAAGGGGGGGGGGTTTAAGGTGAGTAAATGGGGGCGAACAGGACAAGGATGCGAAAAACGATGCGACGATGGTGGGGATTACAATGATTGGGGGGCGGTCTTCATGTGCCAAGGGACAATCGGGATGAAATGAATGGGTCGGCATTTCTTTGCAGGGATCAAACCCCACCGCCTCTGCAAGGCACCACTCGGCACCTGGCCGAGTTCTGGATGCCCGCGCCCCAAGAATCGGCTTAGCAGCAGGAGGGAGAAGGCAGTGCGTCGGCTGCGGATGGAGGTCGAGTCCAAGGCATAGGGGCCAGTTCGAACTGTTGGATGCAGCTGGTCCTTCAGGGGCTTGTTGTGCCCCTCACTACGAAAGCATCCATGCCACAACCGGGAACAACCGGGTGATTGCGAACAGACAATCGGCGTTGGCTCATTACGCCGCAATTTCGCCGCTGATGTGAGGATCGAGCCGGAGATGGCCTTTGCCAACTTGACGGACGACATGGACTGCGCGGAGGCGTACATCAGGCAGGACGGTTTCCAGCTCGACTGGTTGTGGCTTTGGCATGCTTTGGATAGGAACAAGTGTGTCAAGTCAATCTGCGCGGCCGTCCCCGCTGCCGACCTTGTCGCAGGTATTGCCTCACCAACGTCTTAGAGAAGTGCAAGTCGGACATGGACTTCTTCAAGCTCAGGGTCGACGCTGCGCATGAACATAATGTGAGTTCGCCAGAGTGCCCAACCAACCAAGCAGCAGAGGCGGAGTTCGTATTCGTAGATGTTGCAGTTATGACGATGCTCAAAACGGCTGAACTTTTATGGTCGGATCATTTTTCATCCAATATGTAAGTATAGCCACGTTTCGACTTCATCAACATGAATTGAACATACGCACTGCAGCAACCACGCGCAGCTCAAGGCCATTGTACAAATCCGGTGTTGGCACAAGTGCTGGCGACTAGCAGTTGAGAAGCGTGAGCCGCGCCAAGGACAAGGAGGTCCAGGAGCTGTGTGGGCGGCTGGCGGGCGAGTTTTGCGTGTTGCTTGCCTCTTTACAACATATCATTGCCGTTGCTTTCATGCAGTTAATAATTCAAAATTGTGGACTTTGTTTTTTCAGCCATCCTTTGGGAGCGGCCATTCTGCTTGACAACTGGGAAGCTGAGCGGCACGGGACTTGTGCAAATCGCAGCTCGCCAGATGGCCTAAGAGGCACGACAGTAAGCCTGAAGGATTGAGGAATTGCTTGTTTGCGGGTTCTGAAAGGGCAGCTGAATTTGCAGGCCACCGCCAGAAGTTCAATTCAAATTTGCGATTTTGGGGATGTACCTGCCTGGACCGACACCTGGACTGATGTCCAGACCTAGATCCTATGGTTGGTGATCTTTGGTTCCTTGAGCTCCATCAGCATCTTTTGGGCGCCTCGATGTCGAGCTCAAGAAACTCCAGGACCGCCTGGAGCTGATCGCCTCCAAGCCCTTTGCAAGGCTCACCTACACAGAGGCGGTTGAGGCAGCGGCAGAGTGGGCTGGCATGGGTGTTTTTCTAGAGCACGAGGCAAGGCGGCAAGTTGTTTGAGATGGTGAAAGTTGGCGTTTGGCACTGGTTTGTTGGCTAGGGGACGTGACTTTTCAGTGGTTTGAAGTTTGCCCTGCTGAGGCGCTGTGGGGCAAAGTATGGCAGCTGATTTTTGCCTTGCAAACAAGGCCAACCCCTTGCAGCAGGATACGCACGTTGCAGGTCTCAAGAATATCCACAGAATTTGGCCTTCCAGGGTCATGGGCTGTCTGGAATTGCCAAATCATCATACCGACCCGATAGTGAAGGTTTGCCTGGGCTGAGCTGCCAGGTGCTGCAAAAGCACGTGGAGAAGGGCGATGTCAAGTTTGAGTTCGAGGTTGTCTGGGGCAAGGAGCTGCAAACGGAACATGAGTCGGCAGCTTAGCGCTTGGAACTTTGCGTCTGGCTCCTGGCTCGGCCACCTCTCCTCACCTAGGGTTAGGAACTGGACGTGTGTCTGGTCTTGTTTGGCAGGCGCTTCCTCACAGACGTGGTGTACAAGGGCCCTGTCATCGTGTACAACTACCCGAAGGACCGCAGCTGGCGCGGGATGATTTGCTTGGGACGCGCTGGCTTGGGACGCGCAAAACTTTGGCAGACTATCACAGCAAAATTTTACGAGACCCATGTTTTGAAGCAACGCAGCAAACCAGCCTTCCGCCTGGGGCGTGCGAACGTGTTTGCGACCAGGATTGCAAAGCCTTCTACATGCGTCTGAATGAGGACGGCAAGACCGTGGCTGCGATGGATATCCTGTGCCCAGGCTGCTGGACATTTTGTTGAACTGGATATCCTCGAAGCATAACGTGGGCAGCTTGGTTTGAGTATGGGGTCGATTATGGACAAACTTCTACCTACCCCCCCCCCCCCCCCCCCGGGCGTGATTTTGGCTTGGCACTGGCACAGGCATCGGGGAGCTGGTGGGTGGCTCTCAGCGCGAGGAGCGCTTGGAGGCTCTCCGGTGCCGGTTGGGAAGGGCGCTGCGAGTGTGTTTGTTCCCTTTCTTTGCATGGCTTCTGGTTTGGGAATGTTTGGGGTGCCTGCTCTTGATGTTTGTGTTTTGTAGGTGCGATCCCGGGAGTGTGGCATCCCACGTGGGAGCTCAAACTTTGCGAGTGTCTATGCCTTGAAGTGCAACCTTATGAGAGTTTACTTTTGTCACTGGCCACGTGCAACGGTTCCAGCAAGTGCGACCTGTTTCATGTGCTGATCAGGGGATATACCAGAACCTTCCCAGCACCAGCTACTTGAAGCATAAGACAGGACCATAGTAGCAGGTTGCATTCAACCGCGTGGTCGGCCAGCAGCACGCATTGCTGCCTGGACCATGTTGGAGGATGTTGGGGAGTGGGCTTGGGACACGCCTCAAGCGCCACAGCCACGCTCCCATGGCATTTCCATGCGTATCTTCACAGAGCTTTGGCAGCTTGACATGAGCATGGGAAACCCGACTTGAAATGCACAAAGACAAAGCATCTATCACGTGCCAATCTGGCGCCCCCAATCCTCAACATTTTCAACTCAAAGATGCGCTCCATAAAGTGATCCGTTCGGACAAGAAACGTGTGATTGGCAAAAGTCAATGCCATCAGGAAGAAATGAGGCCTGACACAACATGTTCGGGGCCTGCCAGGTCTTGGATGAGCGACTAGCAGAGCCTGAGCCCTGGGCCATGCCGTTGGTGAACTTGTCCAGTGGAGATGCACGTGGCGTGGGCCACGCATCCGAGGGCTTTGCGCTTTGCTTGGAGTGCTTTGTAGGACTGAGCACTTGTTTGACACCATCTTCATGTGTGGCGGGTTGGGTGAAGTGACCCCTATCCAATAAGGGAGGTCCAAGCTTGGCCTGCATTTGATGCCTGAACCTTAGGGGTCCTCATTTGCCACGAGGAAGGCATGTCTAACCGCAGCTTTGCGGATCAAGCCGATGCGGGGACAGTTGTATGTATACATATGTACTGTATGTATCTATATATTGTGTGTATTATATATTATATATATTATATATATATATATATATTATATATATTATATATATATATATTATATCTATCTATCAAGCCAACACCGTGCACCCACTTTAGTTTTAGCCCAGCATTTGCTTTCTGGTTTTTCCGGTTGAATCCAATGCTGAGTTTATGGACGTAGCCAGGTGCAGTTCGCCAAGAGCTGGCGCGGACATGGCCACCCCTCGCAGCGGGGCATCCGAGGGGTGCTTTGGGCGGCTGCAGTTGGCTGTCCAGGCGCGGCCAAAGCAGGTGGGACGGGTGATGAGCCCATGATATTACCCATTGAGGAAATCCGGAAGCCAAATCCGGAGATTTGGCTTTAGAAAGTGAGGGGACGTGTTCCGTAGTCAAGGTTGACCAAGTCAGCAAGTCAGGTGTCACTGGACGGGAGGGGAATGACAGGTCCCACCTCGGGCCCTAGCCGCTCGCCCCAGGTTCTGCTGGCCGGGGTGTTCCTATGGCGAGCAATGCCGGATACCGGGTGGCTGGCCGGTGGCACTCCTATTCGCCACAGTGAGCGGTTTGCCTGCATCCAGTGCCGGGTGCGTCCGGAGCACAAGAAGAAGGAAACACGTCGCAAGGACTGGCAGGACAAGGGCGGCATTGAGGTGGCAGCGGCCAAACGGCTTACCACAGACATCGCCCATGCCACGTCTGTGGATGGAGTGCTGAGCATTCTGGAAGGCGCGAGGTTGAACAGACTAGATGAAATACATTACTCCGCCAGCATTTACAAGATGGCCTCTCTGCGGCGGGGCCCGCCCCAGCCCCTTTCCAACTTCCGAATGTTCAATTGGATCGCGGAGAATTTTGGCAAAATGCTGCTGACCAAGAGCGTGAGTGCCCGGACAGCTTCCATGACGCTGTGGTCAGTTGCCACTGCGCGGGATACTATGCCTGATTTGCAGGTCCTTTTGCCAGGCGCCATTGCCTCCACCGTTGACAAGTCGCACTCTATGAATGATCAGCAGGCGGTTCAATCGCTCTGGGCTGTAGCCACGCTGTTCACCTACGTGCCCGCTGCCAGGTCGTCATTGCAGATGGAGCTGGTTTGTGACCATTTGGCACGCCGCATTGATGCTATCAGGGGTTCCCTTTCCATGCAGGGGCTCGACAATTGTCTGTGGTCCATTGCACGTCTTCCTGCTACTTGCTTGCAGGAGAAGCTGCTGCCTGTCATCCTTGACACCTGCCGCGAGGTGCTGTCAAACGAAGACCGATGGAAGGCGGATAAGAGAACGACGTACAGCGGCTGGGCAAGGTTGGCTTGGGCACTTTCATTCCTTGGGTGCAAGGATATGACAATCTTGCAGCCGGTCTCGCAGATCTTGACACAGGCAGCACCTTCATTGGAAGGCGGTGGCTTGTTGCCTTTGATTGATTTGGTCTGCGCGTATGCTAAGCTCCGCATTCGCGACAAGCGCTTGCTTGACTTAGTGGCAGGGCTGCCGTGGGAGTTCAAGTATTTCAGGGACTGGGATCTGTGCGCTTTGATTTGGAGCTACCAGACGCTGGACCAAGCTCACAACCACGATGAGTTCCAGGCCAAACTTGTGAGAGAGCAACGAAAGCGACATTTGACGCAAGACCACGTGAAGTGGAGCCAGAAGGGCTATGAGGAATGGGAGGCGTTTGAAGACTGACTTGTTCCTGGTTTCCCCCCGTTTTTTGTCACATCATGCCCTTGTTGCTCGAGCATTAAACTATTAGCAGAGATTGCCAATCGCCAACATGAGCACGGCAATGGCGACCCTATAGAGGGTTGCGGTCATTAGGCGGAATTCTTTTGTCCTTTGTGTGCCAGCACCCGGATGTCCCCGAGTGCGGGCGTGGAGCTGTTCAGGCTTGCGGCACCGGACATTCTGGACCTTGTGCCTGCTCCTAGAACTTGGGCTAATGAGCTTCTTGGACCGTTTTCATTCATGGAAAGTGATGCAAGTGGGAGCTCAACTGACTTCAGGCCAAGGCCCGGAGTGCGGCATGTGGAGGGCAGGTTGCGTGCACCCGCGGAGAAAAGAAAACGTGGCTGGCGCTTCCTCGTCTTAATGAGGCTGTCGTTGGTGGCCTGTTAGGTGGTGGCTGCAAATTTTATAACCCACTTGGTTGCACTTACTGTTCAACAGGGACGGTTACGCACCAACGGCTGTGGCCCAAGGCACTGAGTTTCAGATTGAAAGCTTTCACGCTAGACACGGGCGCAGATGAGGGAACCTGGGAGCAGACTGTTTTCGGCACTTAGAACCGTTGAGCTTGTCAGCCGTGCCGCGCTGCCGGGCTCAGCCAAGATGAGGAGAGCGCCTTGCAGCATGGCGTGTAGCGCCTGGCCGTGAGAGGCGACTCGGGGTCAGCGGCACCCAAGCCTGACAGTTCCACTCACAGTGAGTTGACGACTTGGCCTGTTGAGGTGTCTCTTGGTTCAGCATTGGGTGTGCTTCTTTCCGTCCCCAGTCCAATCAAGCTTTCACTCAATGTTTAAAACAACAGCCCAACAACAAACGGCTAGGGCCAGGGAACGCACAGGTGGGAATGTTTGCAGCGATATGCAATTAGAACGTGGGGATATTTTTTTGCCACTTTGCTATTTGCGATGCGTTGGCCCGGTGCCTTCAATTGTTGTGCTTGGCTGCTGCCAAAATGTTGGGAAGAAGGTGTCCTCATCAGACTCCCTGCTTGTTGGTGTTGTTGCAGCAGCACCTGCTGCTGCTGCTGGTGGCGGCGGTTGTTGATGTGAGTCCGGTTTGGCTATTGTTTCTTGATGAATCCTCTGCTTGTGCTTTCGCCTAGTGCTACAGGTGCGCCCTTTTCCACACGCACACACACAGCCACACAGAATGGTTGAAGACGAATCGGAATTGAACCGCCAGTGGGGCACAGCTTTGGGCCGGCACATCTTCAATTGGCTGGTCTTGACGCTCCACTTTTCGGCCAGGCCGAGGCGCATGCCATGCTCAGATGGCTTCTCGTCCTTTGGACCGTGCCTTGGAGCAAGCATAGATTGAAGGTTCCCTGGCTTGAGCACGTGAAGGGGAATCTTGCAGACTAGGTTCGCTGTCAGAAGGCCATACAAAGCAGGAATTTGTCCGAAGGAGCAGCCAGGGAGTAGCAGTCTTGTGCTCTTTTGACGCCGCAACTGCAAGTGCAGAAGGGCTTACAAATTCCGAGGTCACGTGCGTCGGTGGCACGGGCTCCTGCGTTGGCCGCTGCAATGAGCTGCAGCAGCCTGGTTGAAGCGAACGTGGCAAGCGACAAAATGTTTGACAGGACCATAGGTGTGTTGGAGGTGGCTGACAACGAAGCCAAGGCTAAGGCCCCACCAACATCTTGGCCAATTCCCTTCAAGACAGCCGCGTTCCGTTGTTGGCGCCATTGGGCCACAGCCGCGCGTCTTGAGGCCGGGGGCGCCCTGCCAGTGCATCAGCGCCTGGGCGTGAACTGGCGCTTAATTCGGGCGGAGGGAGGTCCTCAACGTCGAGTTTGAGTTAGCTGCATCTGTGCTGATCTGGTTTCATGTGCCGCTTTCTGACCGGAAGCCGTGAGGGAAAGTCATGCAATTGGGAGGGGTGCATGAACTATGTGCCAGGTTGCAATCAATCAGCAGCAATATGCACTGTCTTGCCCTGTTTTGAGCTGATGGGCTGCTGCTGTTGTTGCCTTGCTCAGGGTCGTGTTTCAATTTCCTGGCGTGGACTGAAACGTTTTGGCTCAGCATTCAGTGCTGTAGCTGCAAGGCGCTGCCCAACCTTTCGCAGGCACAACTTGCGTTGATGTCGCCAACTTGCGTTGACATGGGCTCCGAGTCGCAATCGGCAACCTCCCTGCTCTTCAAACTCTCCAAGAGGATGTCACAGCGTGAGTTCCTGGTGGCTCTGCATCAGTGGTGCGGATGCTGGACAATGAGCCAGCGGCCCTACAACTATGTCCACCTCCCTTGGGCCAAGCTGGCCGTGGTGAACTTCACGAGGAGTGAGGAGTGCGACATTTTCCTCCAGATGATGGACGCCATTGCGGGCCTCCCAGGCGTGTGTGTGGCGGGCGTACGCCGTGCCGCACATCAAGGCTTGGAGGGGAACTTGGCCCACTTTTGCGCCAAGCGCAGCCATTCGAGCAGCTACGCGAACCTTCCCCTCGTCTTTGTGGGCAACGAGCTGGTGCCACTGGAATGGGCTTGCAAGCGCTTTGTGAGTCACAGCCTCTTCCAACGGTACATCTCCGAGCTGGAGGCTTCTCGTGCGCCACAGGCGCCAGCCAGCATCTTTGGCTGCGCCAGGGATGTCGAGGCCTGGGCCAGGAAGCCCGAGGGGTCAAAGCTCATTTTTCACCTTTGAATCTGCTCTTTCCGACTCTTCCCTGAACTTTGTACCAAGATCAGGGGTCCTGAGCCGAAAAACTACAGTAGTGGGAGCCTCCGTCAGCCGTGCACTTTTTTTTTGTTCACGAATAGGATGCGCTCAAAATAGGTTTCGTTTCCAAAGAAGGCAGGGTTCTGCATGAGCAGGTGGCAGGATGGTCAAGGATGACGGTTGCTCATGTGCGGTGCTTCCGTGCGTTCGTGCCGCTTTCATGCCGGCTGCACCGCGGCTGTGATTGGCCAGCTAATGCTGTCTCGGCCACGGTGTTGCATTTTTGCACCTGAATTCAGAACTCAGAGCCATCGAATGGCTAGCCTTTATCTGCGCGAAGCAGCAGTTTTGTCGGAGTTCGATAGGGGGGCTTCTCTTGACCATGTTTGTCTCGATGCCAGCTTCAGATTAGGCTGAGCAAACTGAGTGTACAGACCTTCGGGGTAAAATGGTGAGGCCTGCGCACTACGCCCGCAAAATTGCTGGCATCCAACATTTCTTTCTTGAGACTTAGCGCAGGATTTGGGACGCGGAAAATGCTTATTCGTTACATTTGTGTGTTGTGTTTCATTTGCTTCCAATTGGCTAGGTCTGATTCAACATTGCTGTGTTCGCATCTGTTGTTCCACCTGCGAGCAATGGCGCGCAATCGACCACTTTTTATTTGTGAGGGACTCGTTCATACTTGTTGCTGTATTTTTCACTGGTAACAAGTGGAGATGGCAGACCTTGCGCAACGACGCGTCGAGCACATGTGCTCATGTCTTGAATTGGCTCATGAACCCGTCCAGCCTTTGCGAGAATTGGAACCGCTGCGTAATTAGGCAGTGCCAGTTTCCGCGGATTGCGGCACATGACGCAGCAACATGGAAGAAAAAGGGATGGAGTCCTTCTTGCGACAGGTGCCAGGTGGGCTAATTCTTCAGGGCGTGGTGTCCAGTTGGCTTGCATTTGCCACCCACGCCCAGGGCAGAATGAATGTTTGACCCATTTGACATGTTTGACCAGCCCATGTAATGAGTCTCTTTCCTGGTTTGTGAGCCGTGATTTCAGTCTGCTTTTTGCTTTCGAGCTTGCCTCTCACCAATGGCGAAGAGTCGCTGGACCCACTTTTGAAGGCACAGGCAATAGAAGCGGCACGCGTCATGAAGCCATACCTTGCAATTGGTTGAACGACTGTCTACTCCGTTTCCGTTTCCTCATTTTCTTCTTGTTTCATGGTTCCTCTCACGGAGAGCATATAAGAACACAGGGCAGTGAGACGAGGCCAGAGTGCAATCTTTGTGTCGATTCTGCTGCTGCTGCTGCTGCTCCTGCTCCTCCTTTATATAATTGAAGCTTTTCTTGCTTCTCCTCGACTCCATGAGTTTGATACCCCTTCCCAGTTCTAGGAGTTTGAAGTATGTCGCTTCGGGATGGAAGCTCCACCGCCCAGTATGGCTTTTTCAAGTGTTGGGAATCTGCCTCGTGTTGTTCTGCGCTTCGGACGTGACGTTTCCCCACGTTCGCCCAGCTTGGTGCGTGGAGTTCGAGAACTGCCTGCAGCCCAGCGTTCGAGGGAGAGGGCCTCACCTCCCCCAGTTTTCGGGACATGGCGCTGAGGAGGTCACAATTTGTGAGAAAAGTGAGTTCAGACTGTGTTTGGCCGATCCACTCCAGGAAGTGTTCAAAAGGTGGTATGGTGCTTTGTTTTGACCTGGGCCTTACGAGCGTTTGCGCGTGCAGTTGTGTCAAGACAAGGCATGCCTCGCGCCATGAACTAATGGTGAGATGCCAAGCTCGTTTCATCTTGACGCGCTGTTGTTGGGGGCATCTCAATTCTCGAGTGGAGCGTTTGGCTGCGCTCCAGGGTGTCAAGGATGAGGCTCTATGCCTTTGTGGCCTCCTTGGTAGGCATTGAGAAGCTCAAAGGCTGGAAAGTTGTGGCACGTTGAATCTTGGCTGCTTTTTCCTCGAGCTGATCTGCCATCAATATACATCACACACACACACGCACTCACGCCCGCCCGCTCGCCCGCCCGCCCGCCCGCGCCGCCGCACGCGCACGACGCACGCGCGCACAGACACACACATCTGAGAAAGTCTGCATGCGTTAACGATGGTCACTTCCTACCCAAATAGTGGGAGGGCCAGCCATCATGGCCGAGAGTTCAACGTAGTCTTGCATAGCTATGCAGTGCGAGCTGCTGGAAATGGGGTCCTTTTTGTTGCTGCATTTTCCTTTTTAGCGGGTTAGATGAGATCACCTTCCATGTTGAAGTGGCTTTCCTCTTCAATTCGTCACGGGGCCAAGCATCTGGCTTGAGGGCTGCGAAGTCTCCCTGTGCACGGCATTGACCCCAAAAGGAGGGCGACGCTTTGACCACTTTCCAAACCTCCCCAGGTTGTTGCTTGCTTGCGGCCCGGCCCCATTTTCCTGTGAGGCTGCTCGGACTACTACATCTGCACCGGGGCTCCGCCAGAGCCAGCAACATGGCAAAAGTATCTTCAGTATGCATGTGGGCACAATGTTTGTTCACTGCCAACCCCTGAATCACAGGAGGTGTCGTGTGCCTCCAGAGAAATTTTATAATTTCAATTGGGTACAACAATGTTTGTTTTTGAACCAGGGGTCAGCGCTCTCCGCATCTCGCGTTGAAGAAGCAGCGCGGCTGTGTTCCTTGTGAGAACTGCTGGTGTGTTTGTTTCTCCACTATTTGTGCCAGCAGGTGCACATGAAGGTGAAGGTTTCATCACCAGAACGTGAGATGGCCACCTTCTGCACAACACATTAGAGCGTGCGTGTTTGGTCTCACTTCAATGATCCCTGGATGATACATTGCACTGCGTTGGTCGGTGTTCATGTTTAGTGCAGGCTGCTTAAGGCACCAGCCCCCGGCCGTGCGGTTGCCACCATGCTGCCACCATGCTGCCACCTCAGGTAACGCCGGCACCGGCGCCTGCACCTGTGACTGGTCACAAAGTAAAGAGTGGGCCAAAGCTATACCCTTAACAGACACAGGGGGATCGAGTTGCTGCCGGTTGCCTTGCATGCAACTGGTGATCTTGTCACCTAGATCGAGAGCCCATATAGATCTGTTTGGCGATTTTGTGATCAACATTGTTTCCAGCGTACATCCTTTCAAAATGCTTTGCCGCACCTTGGGGGTGGACTCTTTGTACCCTCATGCCACCGCAGGTGGTGACAGTGCCGCCACTATGGCCAGCGGAGCCACCGCAGCCTTCGCCACCACCGCCGCCACCACCACCACCGCCACCTTCGCCACCACCACCACGGCCTTCGCCACCGCCTTCGCCACCATCGTGGCCTTCGCCGTCACCACCACCACCTTCGCCACCGCCGGTGCCAACAACGCTGACAACAACAACACTGTCATCGACGACGGTTACGTTTACAGCAGCGTGGCGCAAGTTGGGGCGCACATTGGCGCGCTCATGCACGGCAGAAAATAGATCGCTTCCACTCAACATCTATATTAATGCCCATGCACTGATCTTTCACGCAGGGGTAGGCAATGCGCACAAGGGTGTATGCATGCATTTCGGAAAGGTCGGTTGAGATGTGGTTTGGTTTGTGCTTTGAGGACGATTTTGTTACAAGGCCTCGTCCTCAAATACCCCAGTGCCTTGCAAGTTGCCATGGCAAAGGGGGAGTCTTGAGGTGGTAAGCAGGCAAGCAAATTCTTGACTGTGCTTCTCCCAAGTTGAGTTGTGAATGATTGCTCGCCCCAGGGGACCACCACTTGGTCTTCGACATCCACAATCTCCTCCACAACTTGGACTTCGGTGACAACCATAAGCAGCACCACAGCCTCGCGGCAAGACAGAAGAAATGACGCATGCCGTATACGGCATGGTTCCACTGGGGCAGGTGGAAATGCTGCAGGTCTTCTCACCAGAAACTATGGTAAATACAGGGTCCTAGCTGCAACACGCAATGCTTCAAACCGCACTTCGCACTTCTAGAAGCAATTTCCATGCAGGGAGGGCTTTGGTTGCTTGTCGCCCTGACCAGGTTACAAGCGTGACTCAAACTCAAACCTCCACATCGATCACACGGACCACATCGATCACAACGATCACGCAGACGAGCACCACTGCTTCCTGCCTGACTGGAAGGGTTTGGCAAGGCGATAGTACGAGCTTCGCAAATCGTGGATGCCAAAGTTGCTAAGGTCAGTGCAGGCAAGATGGTTCTTGCACAGCTTTGCTAGCCCATGCTCAGGTTTCTACTCACGGGCTGGAGGCGGGCACAAAGGCAGAGAGGAGATTAGGCAGACTCCACTCCTCAACTCCACATTCCCTGTTCCTGCCCTTCCAATTTCCCAACGGATCAATTTCTGGCAAAGGTGATTTGGATGAGTTTTTGGTCCAGCCCAAAAACATGTAGCGCCACGACCACAATAACCAAGGTTACCGGCTCTACGCTTTCCAGCAGCACAACAAGAACAACTACAGCCACATATACGACGAGCACGGTCACAAGCACCAGCACGGTCACCAGCACCACAACAAGATCTACAAGCACGGTCACAAGTACCACTACACGAACATCGGTCACCAGCAGCACAACAAGATCTACAAGCACGGTCACAAGTACCACTACACGAACATCGATCACCAGCACCACAACAAGATCTAGAAGTACGGTCACAAGTACCACTACACGAACATCGGTTACATTCTCCACGACAACTGGAACAACACTCCCTTCCGCCACGAGGTAAGAATAGCAGCATTGTTCTATTCGATATTTCCCAGTGCCAGCCTTTGCCAGTCAGCAGATATCAACTCTCGGATTGTTAGCAGCAGCAGTGAAACTACTGTAGCAGAGGCCAAGCTGTGATATCAACGAGGAGCAGTCCAGTTTGGAACAGAAACATGTCAGTGTACATGCGCGCCCCCTCCCAAACTCACACCCACACCTACACACATACAGGCAAAAATGCATACATATACGCACATAGATACATGCGTTCGCACATACATGCATACATACATACATACGTACGTACACACAGAAATAGTACAATAAACACACACATGCATACATACACGCATACATACATACATACGTACGTACGCACGTACACACACACACACATACATACATATCGTACGTACGCACGTACGTACGTACTTGCATACAGAAATAGTACAATAAGCACACACACACACTTGCATGCATGCATGCATGCATACATACATAACACACACACATACATACATACATACATACATACATACATACATACATACATACATACATACATACATACATACATACATACATACATACATACATACATACATACATACATACATACATACATACATACATACATACATACATACATACATACATACATACATACATACATACATACATACATACATACATACATACATACATACATACATACATACATACATACATACATACATACATACATACATACACATACACATACACATACACATACATACACATACACATACACATACACATACACATACACATACACATATACATACATACATACATACATACATACATATATGTATATATACATACATACATACATACATACATACATACATACATACATACATACATACATACACATACACATACACATACACATACACATACACATACACACACACACATACACATACACATACACATACACATACACATACACATACACATACACATACACATACACATACACATACACATATACATACATACATACATATATGTATATATACATATATATATATACATATACATTTGCATTTGCATATGCATACGCGCAAACGCAATCACATGCACACGCACATGCACACGCACATACAGATGCACATACACACGCATACACATACACACCTACACACCTACACACCTACACACCTGCACACATACATGCACACACACACACCCGTACACACACACACACTACATCATACACACACACACAGACATACCGCAGGCCCCTCAGTTGAACGCACGCCACCCCTCTGTCAGCGTGAGATAAGGACCGCACATCCGTGTGACAGCATATTTTCAAGATTGTTGAGGTTTGGTAACCCCCCCATACTGGGCACATGCATCCCTGAACGCAAGCAAGGCCAACAGGCAGCGAGCTAGAGAAAGAGAGAGGCAAGAGAGTGAAAGAGAGAGAGAGAGAGAGAGAGATGGAGATATATGGAGAACCAGACAGACAGAGAGCATGAGTGCATTGGCGTACTGATCGCCACGGAATGAGATGCGCTCAGGTCCTCATCGGAAGCTCCAAGGCCGGCTGACTGAGCGTGTAGGATGGCGCTGGTGAAGCCGTATGTTCCTCTTTGGTTTTTGTTGGGGCTTCTGGACCTTATGTGGAAAATGTTTCAACTGTTAAACAGGAAGTGTCGCGGCGTCCATCGTTTGTTGAAAAACACTCCAGCGGCACCTAGGTCCCTGCCCTGCCAAGCTGCCCGGACATTGGGGAAGAGGTGTACATGCAGATAGGCAATGCCCAGCGCAGCGCCTTGGAGCAAGTGGGGCTTCGAGGTTTGGTTTCCGGCATCTTGGACAAGGGTGCTCACTTGAGTCGGAGTCACCAGAAATATGCACCTGCCGTAGCACCCGCCAATGTGCCAATGCGAAACGACGAGGCGCCAAGCTCTTCCTGCCGAAGGGTCAGACGCAGGCACCTTTGTGGTTGCTGCTGCACGGGACCAACAACCAGGTGGACGTGCTTCGGCAGGGGCAGAGAGACAAGCAGCCAAAAATCTTGGTAGGGCGGGGGTTCTGTGTTTTGCACCCCTCTTGAACGATTAATGTTCGGAAATTAATGTTTGCCCGCCTGTGTTCCTCAACTCAACAGTCAATGGCAGCCAAGGAGTTTCTGGACTACACAGGCCAGACGGGCGTGGAAGGAAGCACGCTTTGAGGGGCAGGAGCCCATTCACATTTTTTTTTTTGATTTGATTTTCCCGCACTTCCACCACCCCATGGTAAACTAACTTTGCAAAAACCAGAGTTGCTAGGGCTTTTGGGTTGTAGTTGGCCTACACACTGCGAGTACCAACCCTTAACCCATACCTACCCTATTTCCTGCCCAAATTCAGTGCAGACGTGAAGCTCTCGCCGCAGAGCATCAACCTCACTTGGGGAAAGATACTGTCAGATCACCCTGAGACCACTGGCAATGTATTTGCGTGGGCTGCAGCCAGTGAAATGCTGGACCTGTCTGCGTCGCTTTTCCCGTTGTCAGATACATTCGGAGCAGCCTAAATCCACGTCATTCCCGCTGCGGGAGGCCTCCCGGCCTTCTGCAAGCAGCACGGGATCGCGTACCTGGCGCCGCAGGTGCCAGAACTTGGCATGCCGTGGGCGAAGTGGGGGGCAGGTTTCCGTCCAGGCTCATAGGTTTCCAAGCTCGCTCGATAGTTGGGTTCCTCGCTGGCCGGGAACTGATTTCAATCACAGTAAACCCTGTAGAGCGATACACGCACTTCTTATTGTGTTGCCAAAGCAGGCATCCCAGTGAGAAGCAAGAAGAGGACCTGAATTGGAAGACACGCACTCCATTTTTTGGGTTCCATTGATTAGCCCAGTGTTCTGTTTTGGATTGATTGTCGTCTCCCGCAGGCCTTGCCAAACCAGCAGAAGTACGGCCAGCCAGCATCTCAGGTTTTGCACGCCCGCTCGTGATGACATGCGAACGGCTGAGCATTCACACCCCCAATTTGAAGTCTTGGTTCACCAAAGGTTGGGAGAGGGCTGCGTTGGCAAGATGCTGATGCCAAAGGGTTCAATTGGCAAAGCCAAAGCCAGGGCTTTCGGAGTGACACAGTTATCGTCATTTCCCTCTCTGTGTTGAGATAGAGCGTGCGGCACGGTCTCACAGCGAGCGGCTGAGGACCCAGTTCAATGTTGGCCTTCACAGCCAGCCCATGGCAGAGGAGGAGCAGCAGGCTGGCAGAAAGGAAGCAGCGAAACTTCGGAGACGGGAGTCCGAGGTTTGACATTGCTGAAGGCAACACAGGAATTCTTCCCCAGCCCAAGTCGCAGGTTCCTTGCGGCTTGGGTTTTGGCTGGTGCGAAAGACTCCTTTCTTTGAGGCTTCCGTCTCTGTCAGTCTGCTTTCCAAATGGCCGGCATTCCGGTAAGCATTTGCGCTGGCCAGGGGGTGCACGATGTCCAGTACATCCGGGAGATCCTTCAGCAGGCCAGATTGACACTGGGTTCCAAGAAGCTGTCTTGAACAGGCGAGCCAACCTATGAGTCACGGACATATCTCAGTTCCCAGAAATGTCCTCGCCTGTGGTGCCGGGTGCGGGGCCCATTGGTCGTGGATACTCCTGAGACTTGGAACGGCTTGATCGGCTTCAGATCGTGGCCTTGCCCTGCATCGACCCTCAGCGGATACATTGCACTGGCTACTCCAACGGCGCCCGCTTCTGCACCTTGGGGCGAGAGAGAGGTGCCGAGCGCAAGGGATGGATTGGATGCAAGATGAACAACGCCTTTCCCCTCCCACCCCCGGCCATGCACCGTATGTTTCTCATATTTGGGCGGGTTCTTCTGACCAGCCTTCCATACTCCTTGTGCTTTTCTCCTCTTCAACCTTGGTTTGGGCAAGGCGTAAATGGGAAGATTTTGTAGACCGCAGGGGAGGATACGGGATGACTACGTAGCCAACCAGAAAGGGAATGCCTCCCTCACCCCTCCACTTTGTCCCAATCCCGGCTGAGAAGGTCACGGATGCCTCAAAAAACACCCATGGGTTGCGGACAACCCCCGCGGGAATTGTGCAACCACCGCTTCGCTTTTCACCGACGCCCCTTCCCAGAAATCAACAAGTGGTTGGGCCTTGCGTGCTGGCAGCTGGCTGTCTTCCAAGGCATGCGGCTGGCATCGGAAATGTCCCCGGCCTCAGAGGGCAGGGGGGCTGGATGAAAGAGAGAGAGCGTCGAAGACTGGGTTGTGGGCCAACTCTCACTTTGAGCGCCAGTTTCTGAGGGGTCCGTGGCAATGGTAAGTTTGTCGATGAAGTTCTGGCTGGTGCCGTTTTACGCACATGGCAAGAAAGCGTCACTACAGTATTTCCAGTGTATTCCAGCAATGTGTTGCTGGACTTGAATCAGCATCACATCTCTCGTCAATTCTGGAGCTTTTGAGCCTTGGCGTCGGCATGTCTCGCGGGAGTGTGGCCTTGGGATTGGCATGCAGCTTTCTGGGGCATATGGCCACAGGTGCATCATGCATCATCTTAACTCTTGATGCTTTCACACGCTGATTTCAAGGACGCGTGCGACGAGCCTATATATCGCGTGACCCTCTCTCTCCCAGCAGTTCAAGGGTAGATTTTCCTAAAGCGTAGTTCCAGGAACGCCTTGGGGGCCTTGGATGTATCAAGACAGGTGAAGGTGCGAAGGTTGATCCAAATCAAGCCGCCACGCCGCATTCCCTCCCGTGTCGCGTTTTTGTTGCGACAGGTCCGAGGTCATCGCCTCGGTGGCACCGGTCTCAGGCGCGGTTTGGGCCGAACCCGATGCAAATCTTGCCCAAAGGCCCAAAGGACAGGTTTTTCATGTGGGGCGTGCGCGTGTGTTTACTCGTTGAAGTATGTCCAGAGCCCTATGGCTTGAAAATCATGCACTCAAGCCTACAAGGTTGCACCCTCGTTGACATGACACGCTGACACGGAAGAGGCTTGTTTCATCCTATTGGAGCCAAACAACGCAACACGCGTATTTTTCTGATCTCCATCTCGAGCCCTCTTGTGTGGCTCACTGGCTCTCCAGGGCTACGGTACCCGACTCCCAACCACGCCCGTGCCTTTGGCAGCAAGTGTCCAGCACCGCGCCGCGATGGGACAAGAACCGCTGGGATGTCGCCCAACGAGCATCAAGAAGTCAAGAGCTCTGTGCATCCTGCTTGAGAAATCGCATTGTTTTTCATGAATCTTCGGCAGACCTGCTGCAAAAAATCATGAAAGCAGGGAATGCGTGTTGGTGTGGGGCGGATGGGTGCAGTATTGGCGCATTGCTGACGACCGTGCGCAATGTTTGTTGGTGAGCATGGGATGGAAGCCGGATTTGCAAGCATAGCAGATGAGACCTGGGGACCTGCAAGACACAGCCGAGGCCGACCGATTCCAATCCTGGCAGCGTGGTCAGAAGGGTTTGGCTATGTTTCGGTAGCTCCAGGGTGTTCTCGGCTTGTTGAGCGGGGTATTAGAGGTCGCTCCTTGCCCAGAATGAAAGTGGGTGATTGGTTTGCACTCATTTGGCAGCTCGCAGGCTGGCAACTTGTAGACGTCGGCTCATTTTCTGCGTAGATGCTCAGATATTGGCAGAATGTATTTGTCACTCGGGCAGACGTGCCCACCTGACGTCCGTAAAGAGCAGAAGGCGCCCTGTTTGTGGCTAAGCCTTGGAGGATGTAGATGTGTGCGGGCCATTTGCGTCAGAACCGCGGGAACTTCCCAGTTTGAAGAAGCCGAGTGAGCAATCCCCACTTCTCACGGCCTCAGGCCGTGTTTGTTGGAAGGATTGACCCTTACAGAATGCAGATCATTTCCCCTAACGGAAGCACCTCTGATGGATCTGCAGGGGTGTATAAGTCCAAAGTGGACGTCTAGCTGCGATGCGGGGTGTTGTGCAGATGTAGGGATTCGAGGTGTGGGGAAGGGCCTTTAGAATCTAGAAGTCTGTGGGGTCCGGCACTTCAGGGCCAAGCTTCAATCGGCAGCCACGCGTTCAGCCTTTTTGCCCCACATGCTCGCATGGCAACTCTTGGCAGGTGGCTGCAGAGTCAAAGCAAGTCTTGGTTGGATTTCCTATTGCCACAATCTGCTTTCAACTGGGTCTTCGAGCCTTTAGCCATTCACTCTTGGAGCCTGTCCTATCACAGATGTGTGCGAACAGTTTGCTGCACAGACCCGTCTGCCATTCTCAAGATTACATGGGGGCAATGGGAAGGCACCAGTTCCAACACATATGCGCACACTCATGCACACAAATTCAGGTTATCTCAGCATGTGTCCGCAGTGCTGAACATGTTGCATAGACTGAATGGCACCAGGGTACTCCGGTTGCGTGGGGATCAGCTCCCGGACGCTGAAACCGTCTCTAAATGCAGGTATGATTTGGGGTATTGTCCGCCACTGTTCAAACTGAGGTTGACACACTCCTTTGTCATGGGATGATGTGCAAAGGAGGGAAATACTGTTGGGGAATGGTTAGCGTATGATTCTTGCAATTCCGACGGGGATTTGGAGTAGGAGCCTGGAACCAGGACTCTTCGCAGCCATGTCCACTGCATTATACAATGTCATCAATAATTGTTCCACCGAACTTCTTAGCTCTTAGTTTTCGTGCAAGAGCTGGCCTTCCTCGCAAGGATGCGTCATATGGGGGGAGGCGCTTGCGCGCTGGAGGCCTTCCACGGGGACGCAGATCCGGTGAACCCCTGGTCAGGCGCGAGATGGTCTGGAGAAGGGGGGAAGGGGGGAAATGTTCAGGTTGTTTGGCTGTTTCAAGGCTCGCCTCGGGGAGCAAGCGCGCAATGCAGCATGCCTCTCCAGATGAAAGACACCGCTCGCAATGTGTGTCAGCGCCAGTTTCATGATCCTTGATGTTGGCCCTGGCGAGTGTTCACCGAGCCTGTTGACCAGGCAATGGCGCGTATTACTGGCATTCTTCGGTGCCAGACGCCATGCAGCAGTGGGCCATCTTCAATGAGTGCGGTGGCTTTGCCTGAGAGGGTCTTTGGGTGGGCTGTCGCGCTGGAGCTTCTCAGCAGCTGGTGTCGTCGTGGTTGTGGTTGTGGTTTCCACGGCCTTGTAGTGCCATTCGGTTCAGCATGCTTGACTTTGATATTGCGTGTCGTCATGTCTTTGGTGCAGTGGATGCTGTTGCGGCTGGTTCTAAAACTAGCTCGTTTCCACAGCCCAGGTGCCATGTTTGCAGCTCCCACGTTTGTGGAGTTTGCAGGAGGCGCTGGGGGGTCTGTCATGCCCATTGGCATGATTTGCAAGGCTAAAGGTACTCCTGTTTGCGAGTAATTAAGTTTGATTGCCACTGGGTGCTGTATTTTTTCAAGCAAATATCTCACCAGCTTTTCCGTTCGTTGTTCTTGCTCCACTGTTGGGATTTGGGGGGCTCTTTGAGGCTGGCAGTGAATGAGGGAGGTGGTGACAAAGTCTGCATCTCCAGTGCTTGCTTGGAGCCAGCACCCCTGCAGGCTATTCCGTGGCAAAGTGCCTCTTGGGGTACAGGGCAGGCTTATGTTTGCTTGGGGTTCGCTTTCTAGCACCCTGCCCCCACAAATCCTAGTCTCATGAACTTCTTGTTTTTTCTTCTCTTGTTCTATGGCTGAAAGTCTCCGGAAGCGGCTGCAAACATACACATTCCGTAGTCTTTGCAGGTCCGACGCGGGGCCTAGATTGGCAAAGTGATGAGCAAAATGTGAGTGTGAGACGAGTTTGGTTCAGCGCAGCCAAGGCACAATTTGATTTCGGAATTTGCTTTCGGAACTTGGATGCCAGTCGCGAGGTACGAGAGCTGCTCTGACGACGCCTCGGTGGAACTGGTGCGCCTCCATGGCGCAGGACACCAGTGGCGACTTGGTTGGAGTTGGGCAGTTGGGAGGTGGGGAGGGGGTGGCTGGTTTCGCGGCTTTTGGGTGATTGGGCTGGGGCAACACCTGGACGGTTTTGGTTTATTTTCTCAGAGTGCACTCCCACTGTACTAGAAGACTCCTTTGAAACGTGGTATCCATTTTGCCCAGCATCCAGGGAGCAGCGATCACACACACTGAACGATATAAGTTTGCTCTGATTATCAAGCAAGTGAACTCACTGATGGTTGTTCCCTGCCGGCAGTGCCATCTCTGGTGGGCGAACTCCCTTTCGACATAATTGTGCGGGACAGCCCGGGCTAGGAATTGTCCAGATTTGACGCCCTTCTGAAGCTGGGGGTGCCAGTGTTGTGTTGAGATACGTTTGCATGCCTTTGGAACGGGGGAGGCTGCAAACGATTCCGACCACCGAACCTGCGAGCGTCCCAAGCCGCATTCGGCGTTGACAGGCCCGACGCCGTCTGGTCCAAAGCCAACGTGGGTCCTGTGGGCAGGACGGGCTCTCCGGGGGTGGTCCGTTTGGTTTTGTGGATTTGATCGGGAGCTGAGCACATGTGCGATGTGCAAATAAATGTTAAGCAGGAAAGATGTGCGGTGTTGCATTGGGCTTCCTTGCCTCTTTTGTCATTGATGAGTCCTGTGAGGAGCTCGCTTTCTTCACTCGATTGGGCAGTGTTCAAGAGAAGCATGCAGTTGCCTTTCTTGCAGGCCCCGGAACCAGCCGTGGTGATTTTGTTTGCAACGGGGTGGAACGCAGAGTCCTCCCAGTTTCAGCCACGTCTCTCACAAATCTCAGATTCTTTTGAAGCCTTGGCCGGTGTTGATGCCGCAGGGTCGATGCCAACGCGCTGATTCTGAACTTCTTCTCGAAGCACCGCCCCCCGGCTGAGCTTGGCCGTGATTGGCCTCTCGCTCTGCCTGGTCGGAGCTCGACGGTCATAGGTCGTTGCCCGTGAAGCACGGGACGTGTTACATCATGTTCCAGGGTCTTCGTCCGTTTAGCAGAGCTGGCCCTTTTCCCAGGAGCCGTGCAAATCAGATCGCAACGTACTACACTAATTGGGATTCAACGAGCAAAGGTCCACGAAGCTTCCAGGTTCCTTGGTTTAGGCTCGCTGCCGCTGGGGTTATTCTTTTGGGGCATTTTTGTTTTCTGAAGGCACAGGCGCGAGCTAATGTTCTCAACACCTCCAGCTGGGGTTGACCTGGCAGTGATGGGTTTCTCCCGCTTTCGGGAGTAGATGAGATAAGCCAAGAGGTTTATCACTTGAAGACCTATGACCCTACGGATAGCAAGTGACGGACAGGCCAGCGGTTTTGTGACTCTGCAGAAGTTGTGAAGCCAAGTCGGCACCCATTTGCAGCAACGCCCTTGGCGCTTGAGCCCGTAGTTTTCCTCCCAAATGGTTTGAACCCCTTCCCATGCAAATATTGCAAGCCAAAGGCTGAGCCCCCAGCCGTGGGCACCCAGTTTGGTGCCAGGCCTGCCCGAGAAGCCGAAGATGCAGTCCCTAGCTTCTACCTGGGCCGCTTGGCCGTTTCAAGTTTTCCGCAAGCAGGATTTGGCCTGCTTGAGCCAAGGATCAGAAGCCAAAGCCAGATTTTCGACCATGGGACATGTGGTCCAACAAACTGCCGATATGTGCATGATGGGCCTATTTTCAAGCGGCCACAAGTTGGAGGATCAGTAGCCGGTCGTGCTTGGTTGCTATTTTGGGCAACTGTGAGTAACCTCTCGGGGCCGTGGAACATCCCTTTGCAGAAAACTGCTGGACTTGCTAGGTGCTCGCGCAGCCGCGCCAGGCAACTCTTGCCTATGCTCCATTCAGCTCTCCCTTGCAGTTGGGGCCTGCAGGCGCGCGCGGAAGGTCTGGCGTGGGCTGCTTGATTTGACATGCTGGGATTGGGTGCTTAGTCTCTTGCGTGTTTCTTTCGCGTAATTTCTGTGTGCCCTGTTGTTCGGCCCCCGTTTTTCTCTCCGCAGGTAGCATTCCGAAGCACCATTGTCGGTAGCATCCCCATCCAGTCTGGGGATTGGACAAGTCCGACTCTCTCTCTCTCTCTCTCTCTCTCTCTCTTTTTCTCTGCAGCTGCTGCGGCCAGGGTCGAACCGTCCGACTGTGGACGGGTACTCACTTTTCATCGCTGCCTTTTTGGTGTCCGTTGGTGTGGAAGGGTGAGCCCTGGAATTCAGCAAATATATCTCTTGCCGACACCGCAATGCACTTGGGGCTGCTTGGCCTGAATGGCCCGATCGGTGGCAAAGGTTTATAACTCTACCCGCTCAGGCGTAGTTCGCAGTACCTTGCCCCTAGAAAAGACGTCCTTGGAGCGATCCGTCATTTCACGCGAAGATATCACAGGGCAGGGCACAGTCTAGTGAGGGAAGTTGGCTTTGCGTGTTTCCTCAAGCATCGCGTCCCCCCAGACTTGTTCTGGAGCTCCCAAGAACCGCCAGCAACAGCAACAAATCCCCCAGTTAGCAGCTCGCCAGTGCTGGCGCTGACCTTCATGCTGCTGCTGCTGTGGCGAAAGTCCCGCAGCAGCTACAGCCTCATAGGCAGAGGGAGTGGAGTTTGCAAGGAGGGTGGGTTGCTGGTTTGGACATGTGACATGCATTGTGTCCCTTTCTCATTTTTTGGAGCATTGAAGTGCTGCCCGAAGACCATAATTGGACGTAGCTCTGGCTTCATGCGTTTGTTCCGCAGTGTCCGTCATTCTTGTGGATGGTTCCAACGCTTCCAAGTTCAGAATCGCTTGGCAGCGTGATTTGGGGTGGTAGCGGCTTCCCTTCCAGGAAAGCTTCACTTGGCTAGTGCAAAGGCTGCTTCACCGGGCTTAGTTACAGCTGATGCATTGCACAGATTTGTCTTTGTGCAGGGGCATTCCCGATTCTTTTCAGCTTGTTCAGAATGAGCTCGATCCAAGTAGCTGCTGGTGCTTGCAGTGCCGAGCCGCCAAGATTTGCTCACTCCCACCATGTTTCAGCCAGGTCAACCTCTCCATGATGGCATCCACGATGATGATGATGCCGATGAGGATGGCGTCATTGAATCTCAATCTGATAGGCGCGGGGTCATTCCTGCTGATGCTTGAAGCACTGCTTGGATTCATCAGCTAGCTTCCAACTTGCAAATGTTTGCTTTGTAGAATGAACCCACGATTCATTCTTGGCCTGGCCTGCCCTGATGAGCTGACACTTTCAAAAGGGAATGACGCATGACATAAATTGATGGAACATAGTTGCACAGCCTTCATTGAGCCGCATAAGGGTCTCCCTGAATTATTTGATGCTTGAATGCCTTTCATGAAGGCTCATTGCTCCAAGTTTGCGTGAAATTGCAAGCGTTGTCCAAAGGAACATGGAAAGATGAGATCAAGGTGGGTCGTGTGCAGAATTCTTCTCTCGTTGGCAAGTAAGAAGCTGTGAGCCATGTTCTGCGTGGGATTGACGGACAATGGAACATGTCGCACACACTGGAGGAACGCTTGGCAATTGCAGCTGGAGGCCCCTCAGACCTGCCGCGGAGTGAGGAGTCTAGCATAAAGCCCTGCCCACGTGAGTTTCACTTGCCTTTTTTTCTCCTGGCAAATGGCACCAGGGAGAGAGAGAGAGAGAGAGAGCAGAAACAGCCAGGTGTGGCAAAGTGGATGTGCCATTGGTGCCATTGGCGAGTAGGGAGAACCACCGGCCACATTGTCCGTTCCAGGCAATGGCCAATTCGCAACCTCTGCACAAAGTACCGCAGAAGTGGGGGGTCGAAATCGACTTTCCCTGCGCGTGTGGACGCAGCTCGAATGCCAGTGGGAAAAGCAATTTGATGGAGCGGACTTAAGTAGGAGCATCACATGTTAGGGGAGGCTTACCAGGCAATGGCATTGAACATGAACCTAAAGAGAGGCGCGGGCCACCACCTGCCATTGCCTTCTTCCAGAGGCCCCTGCTTGCCTGTTGAATGGCAACCTTTCTTTCGGCTAGCATGGGGCGGATCGGATCAGCTTTGGGACGCGCCGCATTTTGGGGGGAAATCACTCCGCAGTTGCTTTCTTGAAACTTGGAAATGCAGAAGGTGCGGTAAAAACCACAAGAACATCGGACAAATCCAACGAGCGCCCATTCCAGCCAATGTGTTGCATGTCTGCACGCGCGTTCACTCTTCTGGTTCACCTGAAACTTGCAGAAGGGCCAGGGAAAGTACAGAACGGGGACGTGACACCCTTTCCGGGAACGTTTTCTCCTTTCAAGTCACGACCCTGCCAAGCTGCTTTAACCTCAAGTGCTGGGTAGCCACTGAGGCTTGGTTTGCCGAAAGAGGACTATTGGTGGTATCGCGACCTGCGCCCGCCGCCCAGACCGGACATGAGAGGTGGGAGGAGGTCAGGTGGGAGGCTTTGGATGGGCACTCTGGCTGCAGGCACGGGCTGATTGCCAACGGCAATCCAGGTCCCGTCCATGCAGAAATGCATTAGGCAATTCCTAGAAGCCTCAAAGCAACAGTCACCTCTCTGAAAGATCCACTTTGTTGAGGGAGGCGGGAAAAAAGGCAATCAATCTTGGTTTTGCTGCCTGTTGCTGCGTAGCACGAATCTGCGCAATACGGGTCCCGTGCTGCTGCCTGTGCCTCACAAAGAGCTCCCTGAAGATTCGGCTACATTCTCTTTCGTTGCGCGTCTTCATGTGATATGGCTGAAGTGGGCTGGGACTTCAATGGAATGCACCCGAGGACTTGTTTTTCAGATGTAGCCATGGGTCAAAATCTCGTACCCCCAGTGAATAATCCCCACGAATAATAGACTAAAATGGGTGACCTACCCCAAAAGGGTAATTACCATCGGTTTTGACCCACAGCCATTTTGCAGCTTTGCATATCGACTCCAAGGCCGCTTCGGCTCGGTGCCCCACGCGGGCTTCGGCGTGGGCTTCGAGCGTTTGGTGATGCTGGCCACCGGCGTGCGGGCCCCATAGGGGCTGGGCCAACCAGTTTTGAGGGGGTTCCCCCCAAAACCGGGGTTTGTTTTTGCACTGGAGTTTTCCCAGATGCCTGAAAGATGGCAGCTTCAGCCCAGCCAAAAATATCGCACAACTTGCGGTTAGTTTTCGGCCCATATGCTGGTGTCCTGGAGATTTACTATTCAGGCGGACCAATTAAGGGTTGACGCAATGTGTTGGAAGGAGTAGTTCTTTGTTCGGTCCCGGAAAGGGGGGTGCTGAAGCTCTGAGCTGGCCGCATTGGTGATTGGAGCGCTTTTGTCACAACCGGGAGCGCTGCCCCATGTAAGCTGAAGAGGCTGGAGAATTAGGGCTGCCCCGAACAAGCCCCAACTTGTCCTGAATTTGGGTTGAACAAAGCTTGCTGTCGGGGGCAAGCAAGCTGCCAGCGAGGTTCAGAACATCAGGGATGTCATCCCCTTCCCCCGCTACCCGGGCTAGGGGGCCCAAGGCGGACAAAGGGGCGCGACATTTCTGAAATGACTGCCAGAGGCAGCGGTATAGTTTTATTTGGGCCTTTGACGGTGGAATCGGTAGCGGGTATGGTTCCTGACAAGTAGGTGGACTCTGAGGAGTGTGCGAAGTCCCGGCTTTTGTGTCGTCAGCAGCTACAAGCAGCTGCCTACCGGTTCTTTACCTTGGGGAGCTACACTGGAGTAAGTCGTGTTGAGAAGCGGACTTTCATTGGTGGTGCAGCCAGTCCTCCCGACAAATCTCAGTAGTTGTGGATGATTGCAGCGAAGCTCCACGTTTTGTGATCCAGTCCTTGCATGTTTTTGTGCGCAGTCTGTGCCACATGTTCTTGTGTATGCTCCTGTTTGTTCATGCTGTGGTGCCCGTCGCACCGAGGCCATGCCGAGTTCTGATGCAAGAACGCAGTTTTCTGGAGTCTTCGGCGTTTTGCTTCGCCCCACAGAACAAAATGCAGCTTTTTTTTGCTATGCCTCTTGGACAGGGGGCATGTGCTCAGCGGCAGCCCTGATGATTTGCCAGAAATCATTATCATGATTGGGCATTTGCAACCCTGACGGTATCCCTAACAGCTGGAAAGGCTGCACACAGGATCCGGGCAAGACTGTGGCAGGTGTAGATTTTGGGAAATTTCATTGTCGACCTGGTTGCTTGACACCTTGGACTGAGACTGATTTTGTCCCCCCTACGGCGCCCAAAGCGGCAACCAACAGCGAGGTTTGTGAACCAGTCTCACTTGATGGACTCGTGGCGAGCAGGAGGGAGCAATTATGTACAGTATGCCATGTCGAGGCTCAATTCAAGGCGTGGGAAGCACCGACATAAAACACCTGCCGGAAGACCATGCCCTTTTCGACGCGGCAGAAAGTCTGCCAGATGGCGGCCCAGAGCCAATTGTTCGATCAGAGGGCTGCTTTGCTTTGAAGAGTGGCGATTCCAATTCAAGAAGACAGGCAAGCAAGCTCATGTGGTTTTGTGTAAAGGTATGCTCGAGGCCGATAGAACAACCGACCATCCCACCCGCAAAGCACCCACCCCCACATCACCCCACCCTATCTAAGCCATCTAAGCACGGGTGTTGCCTTAGCTTGTTTCTCGGGCACCATGGACTACCAGCGCTTGGAGGCTCATGCGGGTGGGGGGCCGACGGCCGAGTGGGAGGTGGGTGCTCGTCCCCCAACCAGAAGCCGCCACACCTGCATCAGATTTCCTCGAGGCCATCCTTGAATAACCGAAGCAGGACCCATGACGGATAGTTGGTCAGAGGGATAAGTTGTTTTGCAAACCTCCCGTGCGCAGCGAGACGGGCGGCAGGTTCCAAGAGGATGAGCAATTGCGTTTGTCAAAGGAGAACAATTGAGTTTCAATCTAGATGGCCATTTACCATGTTCTAGATTGTGTGTTATCATTACTTGCGACGTCACTCCTGTTGATTTGGAAGACAATGGCAATGGACGGGGGTGTGCTTCTGCAGCCAGCGGCTCCCCGCTCCACACCTGAGAAGGAAGACGCGGAAAAACTTGCCAGCTTGCAAGACCAAAGCTTTTGATCAACTTCCACCATTTGGAGAAGGAGCTGTGAACCCCGTGGCCCAAACTAATCAGTTCCCATGCTTCTTGGCCTGCCGGTTGAGATCTATCCGCAGCATGACTGGTGTAGCTGATGATCTTTTGACCAGAGGCAGGAGGCGTGTCTAGGTTCCGCTTTTCAGGCCCCAGCGCACGACGCACGGGGCTTTGGCGCCCTATGCTACGTCATTTTCCTCGGTACCTGGGAGCCGCCTGGCACTGGGTGAAGTCAGCTCGGACTAAACCGCTCGAGCTTCGCCGGCTTAGAAGTTCACGGAGCGCAGAGGTTTTGAATCGGTTTCTCTTGCTTTGGGTTCCGCGATCGGTCCCCACAATGTGTCTACCTTTGTGGCGGGTAAGGCAACTTGTGGAAGCAGAACCTGCAAGTGCCATATACGCCGAGAATCGTTTCATCGCAGTTTGATATCCCAAGTGCTGGCTTGCCCATCATGTAGAATGCAATTGCGCTCATGAAAGCAGATATGCGTTGAACAAGATGCTGGCGCTTCAGCACTGGGCTACGACATGGCCACAAAAAGAAAGTGATCCATGCCAAATGCGCCGGAGGGCTCAAGGGCACGATTCGAAACCCTAACCTGTTAACCTGTTTGGTGGAGCCCCTGTGTCCAGAACGTGCAGGTTGCCCCTGATGAAGGGAGGTTAGATACGTTCTTTCAAAGTTGGCTGAGAGAGATGTTTAAGAAGCAGGCGTGTGACGTTGGCAACCCAGCAGCCTAGTTGCACAGAATCCAATCCTTTCGTGAAAACGTGGGTCTAGGTCCTAGGCCCCAGGCGATCCCAAAAGAGACCCTCCCATTGCCCACGCGTCTTCCTCAACCCTAAGCTAGATTGCATTCTGAAGTTATTCAATGACTAAATGTGCCTCCTGGACTCGTCCCTTTTGGTGGGTCTTCTTGGGTGTCGTTCCTCAGGTGGGGGATGGTCATCCCCACCCTCTTCCCGCTGCTCCGGCGCATGGAAGCGCCACAGATGTGCCCATGCGTCACACGGGCAGACAGTTTGGACAGCACAGCAGCAAAGTCCAGCAAGTGAAACAAGCTTGGATCATTGCGGCATCGTGCTTGGCTTCGAAAGAACACGGCTGTCTAGTTTTGTTCGCCAGCCTTGCGAGGTATCGTGCTTTCGATACCTTGCCAAGAGGATGGTGGGCCCTTCCTGAATTTTCGATTGGCCCAGCTAGAGGTATTTTGGCCTCGTCATCGGCACTTTCTCCCTCACGAGGATGCTTTGCCAGCCGCCCCTCGTCATGGGGCGGGTCAATTCCTCTATGGAGAGGGTGTGATTTTGCTAAGAGCCTGAAGTGCCCCTTTTGGCAAGAGGCTATGTTCACGCCTGCTCGGCAGAGCTTCAAAATCTGTGCACATATGAACACACGCGCACAGATGCAGTCCAGCAACGCAACCTCCCAGTAGCACTTAGCGACGCCGGAAAGTGGACGCCATGCAGGGCACCACTCCATGACTCCACACACGTAGAGATCACATCAAGGAGCAACCCCCAATGGCACAGAACGTAAACAGAAGCGACTTGCAAAGCTACGGCGGCAGGTTCATATTATGAAACTAGGTCCAGAAAGCCAGGGCTCGTGGTCTGAGGCTGGTTGGCGCCATGGGCGATCGCTTCGACTTCAAGGCGGCCTTTGACATTTGCGCCATTTGTGTGAGGCTAGTCCCGGTGGAAGTCACATGGTAGACACATTGATGGCGCCCTCCAGTGCCCAAAGCGAGTCGTCTTCTTGCTTCGTTGGTGTTCGGTTTGTGATTGGGTTTTGGTGGCGTTCACAAGTGTAAAGAGACATGCACTGGCGGTGCCCATAGCTCTCCTTCTCTGAGAAGCAAAGCACCTGGAATGAATTGACTATTCTGTTGGTTGAGGGGTGTCATGGTCATTGTTTTAGTCTTGGGTGTGTTTGGTTTATGAGTGCACTTCGTCCATGGGAAGTTCCAGGCCAGTTTTGAATGTCTGCAGTCTGGAGGGTAAGAATGGGGGACTTAGACATTGCTTACTTCAAGTTCAAGCTGGCCCTCTGAGCTTGTCTATGTGGCCTTGCTTGTTCAGGATGTGCAACAGTCAAAGGGAGCACATGCTGACGGACACCATGATGCCCGGATGCCTTGGGCCACTCAGCGCAGGTGCTGCTCTGCTGCTGCCTCTCTTGCTCCGCGCTGGGAGGTGCGACTGCGGATAGCCCGGTCCAAAAGGATGGCCCTTCCACACAATGCATCGACCAGCTTGCTTGAGTTGCCTCACGGAATGCCGAGCGAGCACTTTGATGTTGCCAGCGTGAAAAGGGAAGTGTGGCCTTTTCCATCCCCCTGTGAGTGGCGGGAGGGGGCTTGCAGTTTTGCTGGTTCAAGCGGCTTGTTCGTCCAGCGCAAGGGGCAGCCTTCTGCCATGGCGGTGGCGGCTGTGTGCGCGTCATGCCCGGAGGCCCACCAAGACACCGTGTCGAGGCTTTGCTTGCAGCACAAAATCCAGAAGGCCTTCGGCAGGACGGGGGACATGCTCGACTCCCTAAGCGGAAAGGACTGGATCCCCAAGTGGGAGGCGAAGGTGGTGATGGCCACAGCCGCTTGGATCCAAAGTCACAAGATGTTTAAGCAGGGTGTGCGAGAGATTTTCACCTAGAAGACGGATCAATCGGACGTGCTTTCCTCGGGCTTTCCGTCAAAGTCACATGGCACCCCCGGCATCAACGGGTCTTGGCTTCCATGGTTCCGAGGTGACCAAAGCCCAGACGTTGGGCTGCAAGAAGGCGCTGCTGATTTGCATCGCCGGCGGCCGCCACTGTGACGCTGAGATGGCGCGCCAGCCCGCGCTGGTCCGCGCCATCAAGACGGAGATGGGGGATCCGGACTTCCGGGTGACCATGGAGTGGATGGACATGGAGGATTTCGTCGAAAAATACCCCGACAATGACGGCGGGGGGGGGGGGAAAGGAAAAGGCAAGCCAACAGCGGCCAAGAGCGAGGCGAAGTGCGTGGATTCGGGCGAAGGAAGTAAGAATTGCTATGGCCAAGAGGCGGCGCCTGATCATGCAGGCAAAGGAAAAGGGGCTGCCAAGCAAGTCAGCCAAAAGGCATCGGGCAAAGGAAAGGGGGATGCCAAGCAAGCCAACCAAAAGGCATCAGACAATTCCGGCAAAGCAAACGGGGACGCCAAGCAAGCCAACCAAAATGCATCAGACAATTCCGGCAAAGCAAACGGGGACGCCAAGCAAGCCAACCAAAAGGCACCAGACAATTCCGGCAAAGCAAACGGGGACGCCAAGCAAGCCAACCAAAAGGCGTCTGAAAATTCCAGCAAGGCCAAACAGGATGCCAAGCAAGCCAACCAAAAGGCATCAGACAATTCCGGCAAAGCAAACGGGGACGCCAAGCAAGCCAACCAAAAGGCGTCTGAAAATTCCGGCAAGGCCAAACAGGATGCCAAGCAAGCCAACCAAAAGGCATGTGACAATTCCGGCAAGGCCAAAGAGAATGCCAAGCAAGCCAACCAAAAGGCATCCGAGCATGCTGGCAAAGATCAAGGCTCCGGCCAGACGAACCAACCAAAGGCATCAGTGAATGCTAGCAAAGAGAAAGAGGCACCGAAACAGAAGGCAGGCAAAAGCCCAGCGGCTTGCAAGTACTGGCTGCAAGGCAACTGCAAGAATGGCAGCAGCTGTGCATATGCCCATGGTGCAGATACAAGCGCTTCAGCAAAGGCTACATCCAAAACGCTGTGCACATACTTTGCCAAAGGCATTTGCAAGAACGGGGCTGACTGCAAGTTCTCGCATGTTACCAGGACTGGTCCGATTCGCTTGGTGCTTGGTGTGTTCTTTGTATTTCAGGATTTTCTGGCGTGGTTCTTCCTTGCTGAGACCCTTCAGGCAGCCAATTGATCGTCCTACTCCAACCCCGGAGAGGAGCGAAGACAAGGCCGAAAAGTCAACAAAGTCCAAGACGCGCGCCGCCAAGAAGCTGCCGTGCAAAAGCTGCGGCAAGACGTTCAAGGACGTTGCAGGGTGAGTAAAAGGTGTGTGTGTGTGTGTGTGTGTGTGTCTGTGTGTCTGTGTGTCTGTGTGTCTGTGTGTCTGTGTGTCTGTGTGTCTGTGTGTCTGTGTGTCTGTGTGTCTGTGTGTCTGTGTGTCTGTGTGTCTGTGTGTGCTGTGTGTGCGTCTGTGCGTCTGTGCGTCTGTGCGTCTGTGGGTGTGTGGGTGTGTGTGTCTGTGTGTCTGTGTGTCTGTGTGTCTGTGTGTCTGTGTGTCTGTGTGTCTGTGTGTCTGTGTGTCTGTGTGTCTGTGTGTCTGTGTGTCTGTGTGTCTGTCTGTGCGTCTGTGCGTCTGTGCGTCTGTGGGTCTGTGGGTCTGTGGGTCTGTCTGTGTGTCTGTGTGTCTGTGTGTCTGTGTGTCTGTGTGTCTGTGTGTCTGTGTGTCTGTGTGTCTGTGTGTCTGTGTGTCTGTGTGTCTGTGTGTCTGTGTGTCTGTGTGT